GAGAGGGGACTGCCCGCTGCCTTGCGAGGAGTGGGGGTGAAACCTGAGGTGTGGTGTGCTTGGTTAGAGGGGGTTATGCGAAGGGTCCTATCACGGCCTCTTTCCGGTATGTCGTGGTGACATGTCGGCGCACGGAAACGTGTCGTGGGGCTGTGTCTTGTGGGTACAGTTGTACACCTCTGATCAGAGTAAAACTATTCGAATAGCCGTGCCCGCAGTTATGGGCGGTCAACCAGATTCACCGTGATTAGTCTCACCCTAGTGTAATCTTTTGTTTTTGGATAGTTTAGGTGCCTGGTTGGGCCTGTTGCAACGTGGGATAGCGTTGGACAGTGGATAGTTAATATTAATTAATTATTACAACCGTTTAAAACTTTCAACTTCTGTTTATAAATGCTCGCTTTATGCAAATGAACCACTCTAGCTCTTCTTTGATAATTCCCTGCATCATATCCCTATTCCGGTATGACTTGCTGAGTACAGTGGGTAGTACTCAGTCTTGCTCTATTTTTCCCAACCCCAGAGCACGAGTATGTGTCAGATGAAGGTTTCTCCGAGGAGTAGGCTTCGTCCGTGCCGTCGAGGATGCATGTGGAGTGGTGTTCCCGCTGCAGTTCTAGTCAAGGCTTAGCTCCTGTTGTCTTTCGTTTTTTCCGCTGCATTTATGTAAGACTTTTATGATGTTTGTAAGACGTGGATCTGAATGTCAACATTGTCATTTGTGTACCCCGGCCGGTCCTGGACGGGGATTTTAATGCACATTCTGCTTGGAATTCTATTCGGGAATTTCTGGGCGTGACACGTCGTCAGGTACGTTGCATCGATCTTATCGTATTGTTAAGTTAATTGCTAAGTTCATTATACATCACATCGATCGTCTCGTATTGCAGCGCCGATGGGCTCACGTCCAGGTTAGGCGGTCGTATCCTGAGTTTGTTATGGAGTTCGACCGCCTTCTGCCGACTGACGTCGTGTGGGAGCCCTACAGTGCCGCGGCTACCCAGGCTCGTGCGCCGTTGGGTCTGTCCACACTCTCTACCAGGGACCAGGCGTACTAGATGACTACGGTTCCGATGGTCTTCGACATCTGCGTTGAGCCTCACGCCCCTTTCCGCGTGATGCGACAGTTCGGCCTCCGTCAGCCCTTTCCAGTACCGTTTCCGACCACCGTCCCAGCTGCTGTTCACCGGTAAGATCTTTCACTACGCTTTCCGTTGTTGCATTAAAATCTACATGTTCACAATAATTTGTAACATCTGTCGTTTCACACTAATATTACACATTAATTCGCAGGTACTCGCGCAAGGGTCAGCAGTCAGCTGGCGACTGGCCCGCCAAGTTGGCGACTTTTGTTGAGGACTGGCCCGCCAAGCTCGCAACTGAGGAGATCGTGGACCACGAGGGAGAGCCACACACTGAGGAGGCGTACCAGGCCTACCTACGCTGGTACCAGCCACGCACCCGTACTAGGGTCACCTTCGCTCCCTTGGAGCAGCAGCCCCACGTTGCGAGCACTAGAGACCTCTACGCCAGGCACCGCGACCAGGACTTCGCTCGTGCTGTGAGTACCCTGCATCGCACCATTCCTTTATGTTTTCATGTCTTTCTCTTCGTCAAATTTTACGAATATTTACGAACAAATTAACCATGCAGGTCGACGACATCAACCGGGTCGTCGTTGATGGTTCAACGACGATCCAACGTTTAGGCGCGGGGATTCCGGTACCCATAGAGGAGCACCTGACAACGTACACGCGGATGGTGGAGTCGATGCGCTCGATTCTCCGAGTGCTCACCTGTCGTGCAGACGACATTGCTCGGGCAGACGCAGCTGTACAGCGGCCACCCGTACCGACTGGTCCCCGTCCAGCTGCGCACGTTCCTAGGCCGACTCCCCCTCCGCACGGAGGTAAGTATTTTTATTACTATTTCTGTACATGCCTCGCACATATAAGTGAGCCGTTTCACTTGCCGATTGCTTCAGGGTTTCGTGCACCGTTCAGCACCCCGCCTTCCTCGGCTAGGCCTTCTGTTGTGCCCCCCACAAGTACTTAAAAAAACAACATTACTTCGACAATCAATTTACATGCATTTTATGTCTTAGCTTACAAGGGTCCTGTTGTCGATGTGTAGGTTTCGCCCAGTTCGCTATGACGCAGGCCGCCCACTTCTCCCAGGCTGCAGGGTCAGCGTCTCAGGCAACTGCGTCGACCTCGCACTCAGCGCAGTTCTGGCAGTACACCGGGACTTCGTCACAGGCAGCCGGCACGTCGAGTCAGGGTCCACCACTGGACCATGCTGGGACCTCGTCGGACCGCTTGCTGCCTTCCACCTTGCTCTTCGACATCACTGACTTTGACTTCGCTTCAGGCTCGACAGAGGACGTCATCGGCCCCTCACAGCTGGGAGGCGCACCGCCGGTGCAGACGCAGGACCAGGCGCAGGCCACTCCTCCGTAGGACACTCGTGCTACCCGTGCTGTGCCACCGGATCGTTTCACCTACTCCCAGGACCACGTGTGAGCACAGGCCCGGAGGACCAAGCGTGGTTGCGGCGCGGGGCAGGGCCAGTAGAGCAATCTTCTCTTTGTTTATTTGCTTCACTTTCCAATACTGTATGCTTGTGTAATGACTACGTTGTTGTTATATGTGCACGATACCTTTCGGCGCATACACGATACCTTTCGGCGCATGCACGACTACTTTCTGCCGCACCGATGCAGCCTCCTTTATTCGCGTGCGATACGAGTATTTGCCCGCCATTTGGCGCATACGACCAATGTAACTTTCGGCGCCGATCATGCATGTAACTTTCGGCGCCAATCATGCATGTAACTTTCGGCGCCAATCAGGCGTACCCACCATACCCCACCACGTTCACATGTCAGGGGTATCACTCGATTTTTTGCGCCTATATAAGTCGCCTTAACGAGTGAGGTCTCACAATCTTTCAGAACTCAGTCACATTCAGTACTCTCTTCCCCACTTGCTTCATTACAAATCCGACCGGCTTTCATCAATGGCTAGACGCCGGGGTGTTGAGGATCCAAACTGGCGTAACGATCCTTGTGTATACCTACTACCACCTTGGTGCCAGCGTCCTCTCTGCCTATGCGGTGATCGATGCCAACTAATGGCTTCGAGGAATCCTGATATTCGAGGAAGGCGCTTTTTTAGGTGCCCTAACTATGACCGTGAGGTATTTTATTATCTGCATATGCTTATTCATTCCGTATGGGCAATCGCTTTATTCTTCGTAACACTACTCTATTCGGCAGACCCGCACTACGGCTTGCGCATACATCGAGTGGGTCGATACAGAAAATCCCGTTCTCGACCTAACCACTTGTTTATAAGAAGGTCGCTGGTATTTCGCATCCGAAAGTACTGAGCAATACTTACAGAGAAAAGCGGCTTATGAACGACAATGTCGTGAACAACAGAGCGACTGGCGGGTGCTAACTACGGCACTCCCTCCATGGGAAGCCTGTCTAAGATGCAGGTGTGGTGATCGTTGTCAGCTTCTTCGTTCCATAAATCCTACAACATTGGGTCGAAGGTTCTTTGTTTGTCCAAATATTCTTGACGATGATTTCATGGTAAGAATATTTTGATTACATGAATCCTTATTTTCTCACAACATTTACTAACTTTGCTTGCTTTACATCTATTCTTTCCTCCCAGGAACCACCAAGGAGATAACAATACAGAGAATGGATAGACACCAGAAGGATTCTAACTCCACCTAGCCGTGTTGTGCAGCTTGAACTACCAGAGCAATACAGGGTTACTAAAGCGCGGTTTGAGAGAGGAGAGGGATCCTCACGTAGGGGTTAGCTATTATCGGACAACTTAGCATATTGAAATTTCTACTGTCATGCTTCCTTGTCCCATTACTACATCGTCGTTGTGTTCAACTATTGCATTACCTCCCTCCTAGTTCGAATCTAATATCATCTATGTAACCGCAATGCAAATAGTTGTATCATGTTCAAATTGTACTACTATTTCTTCATGTTACATAATTCTCCTTGTTTAAGTCCATATAATGTTTCTACGACCCAGACTGCGATAGGCCTATATAAATTATCCGAGTACTAATACGTCGAATAAGGTACAAAATAATACCTCACTTAACATATGAAATTGCGCGACAACCAACTTCAATACATTTTTATAACAATATTAACAAATTTTACCAATAAATACTTCTTTATTTATTATTAACATAACATAGAAAAATCTTTTGTCCGTACTTTTTTCATCTGGGTCGGCGGCAAGGGACCCAGATGAAAAAAGTACGGCTGCAAGCTCTTTATGGGCGGCCAAAATTGCGATTAGCCCCTTGCCGCCCTCTGTATGGGCGGCAAGGGCCTAATCGCAATTTTGGCCGACGGCGGCAGACGGCGCGGTCAACCCACCGTCTGCCACGTCAGCTTGCCGCCTATTTCTGCAATTTTTTTGTCGATAGATTATTTCTGTAAATATTAAAAAAAAATCTAAAAACGAAAAAAATTCTTCCACCGCCTAGGAACCGGTCCGGGTGGACCCGGTCCACGATGCCCCCCGCAAATCCTGCAAAAGCCTTTTTTTAACCCCAAAAATACGTGCGGACCATATGATACACGGGTGGCCAACGGTCAGCAATCAACCGCAGCCACAGACGACCGGGCCCCACACCCACACCCCCCCCCCCCCCCCCCCTCTCCTCGCGAAGCTCCCGTGAACCCGAGAAGTTTCTCGGTCCACGCGACCGAATATCTTCCGCGTTGCCGTTGCCGACGCGCCAACCGTCCACGCACCCCCGTAGCCAACCCGAACACGGAATACCACTTCCACCAGCCTGTCCACCCCACCTGTCTCGCTGGCGCCTGGGCCCCACATGGGGCCAAACCAAACGCGAGGCCGAGGCGGCGCCGTGTCCGTTAAGGAAAGCCGAAGCCGAGTTGGCTTGGCACCGCCTCTCGTCCACCCCTCTCCTATATTAGGCGACGCCCCGCCACGGTTTCTCCCCACCTCGCGGCCCCCTCGGTTTTATTTTTTCTTCTTCTCTTCGGCGTGGTCGCGTCGTCGCGTTTGCGTCTTCCCGTTCCCGATCCCTTCCTCCCTCTGCCTCTCGATTCGATTCGAGTTTCTTCGTTTTTTTCCCCTCTTAATAATCTTCGTGTTGATTTGGATTGTCGTCGTGTTCTTCGCCTTTTCTGTCCGCAGATCTCCGTGCGACGCTGCCCGGGAGCCTCCTCTATCTGGATTCGTTCGACTTGATTGATTGATTGTTCGGTTTGCTTGCGACGTGTTTGATTTTTTTCCTCCCCGGTGATTCGATTCGATCCGATCCTATCCGACCCCTTCTCTGGTCTCGATTTCTGTTTTGTGTTGTTCCCCGTGTTCGTCCTCTCGGCGTGTTCGGTTGTTGCAGGAGCGGATTTGATCCGGGATTTTGGAGGTTCCCGTGGCGTCGTGTGGCGAAGGGGGAAGTCGAGGTTTCGAGGAAGAGGTCAGTTTCCCGTCTACGGTCGTTTGATTTAGTCACTTGGGTTCGGTGATTGATTTCAGATTTGAGTGGTTGATTACCTTCAATCGATGGATGGATGATCATCGGGTTCTTATCTGTCCTTACGCGAGGTGATTCGAGACCCTGGGTTGATAGTTATTTGTAACCGCTGATCTGGCTTGTGGTATGTGTTTGTGCTGCTCTAGATGATGCAGGAGGGAGGGAGGCTGTTGAGATGAACCGAATTGGTGGAGGTTTGATTATTATGGTCCAGGTTCATGGTTGCTTTGATTATTATGATGAATCGGGGAGGTGGAGGTTTGATTGTTATGGTTCATGGCTTTTTGATTAGTTCATGGTGGTTCTGAAATTATTCTGACACGAAAGTTTGTGGTGTCGTGACAACGTTCACTGGATTTCCTTTGGTCAGATCCTCAAGATGTGCAGATTTCTAAGTGATTTGGAGATAGATTTACGGGAGATTGTCAGATGGAATAGCAATGCTTCGTTTGGATTCTGAACCCCCCTTGATTTGATTTAGTTGTTGTCAGCATAATTTGATTAATGCCTTGAAAAGTCTGATTTGGGCCGTTGGTTGTTCTTCAGAATTATTGGGAGTTGCATCTCACGGCGAGTCCTATTTGCTGCATGAATTGGAATCACCATACATACAGGCCGCTGGCAGTTCTTTTTCTGTGATCGACAATCTTCCCCTTAATCAAATTTTCCATGTTCTTCATCAGTAATTCTTAGTTCTTGCAGATAGCACACAACTAAGATGGAATTTGCAATCCAAACCTGCCTCGGTCTGCGAGCTCAAGACAGGCTTTATACCTATGCCACTCAGTCTTTAGTGCATGTTTTCTATGCTTAAGCTGCTTTCCTCCAAAATAATACTCTTGCTCACTGTAGGTCTCTAAATAAGAGTAATTGTTATGGCTCGTCTCAGTGAAGCTCACTACCCTTTTTCTCTTCAATTCATCGTTAGAAGTTAAAAATTTACAAAGTTGAATTTCTTCCCAAATAAATGTTCTCTTGCTTGCTGCAGGCCTATCTCATAATTTTGCAAGGCCAACCTTCACCGAGTGAAATCTTTAAATCACCACCCTTCTCTTCAATTCATCATTAGAAGTTATATACCTCACAAAGATATATTTAAGTCCAATCTATTGCTCACTGCAGGTTTCTGCATAATTTCTATGGCCAATCTGCAGGTTTCTACATAATTTCTATGGCCAATCTGAGTGAATCCTTTAAATCATCACCCCTTTCTCTTCAATTTACCATCAGAAGTTAATTGCTTGCAAAGTTGAATTTCTTCTCGAATAAGTGGTCTCTTGCTCACTGCAGGTCCTAGTTCATAATTTTGCATGGCCAGCCTTCACTGAGTGAAATCTTTAAATCCCCTTATTCAATTCATCATTAGAAGTACTCACCAAGGGTAGAATTTAAGTGCTTGGATTTATCTGCAGAAATGGAATTGCGTAGGAATTTTGGAGCTTCAAGATAGATGTGACTACTGGAGAATTCTACAACCAAAACATACTTTTCCTAGTTTGCCTAATACTTAACTTCCTGTTTAGTTTCTATTTCGGTCATCAGAATTGCTTCATACATGTAGCTTAGATTTTGGTGTGCCTTTGTCTTTCTTTGTTGGTCGCAGATTCCTTAATTTTCTCCCAAGTTGACAAGGTTATTGATTGGAGGCTGTTGGCTTGTTCGGTTTGTGTTTTATCACCTTCAATTGTTACCTATGTTTATCCGATAGTCTCTGGGTTGGTCTGGGGGTTGGAGCTCTGAATGCACACAAGGTCTGATTGATTTCGCAGATTATTGTTACCTGGATTATTTCAGCATATGGATCGTTTGGCTTGGCGTTTCTGTGTGGGGTCTTCCCTGATGGCCAGCCATCAGTTGCAGTATCTCGTAATTTTAGTGGATTCTAGACTTGAGACCTGAGTTAGTTTTTTTTTTGTGGTTTGTGTGTTTGTCCTTGTTTTAGATGATGCAGAAGGGTGGCTATCGGGAGATTAAATCCAAGAGTAGAGGATGGATCTTTTGATATTACGGTGGACTGGAGCAACTATCATATAACTGGAAAAAGATCATTAAGCCAAATTCACCCACTCATTATTTTAGTACTTACCATCCGGTTTAGCATCTTCTCAGCGATGCTTATGTGGATTTTCGTTTTTTCTCCAGCAATTGGAAGTACTAGCTTTGTTGGAGTTGCTATTTTGGAGCTAATCAGGGCACTGGTTTCTTCTGTGATTAACAATCTTTCTACTTCTTTAGTTATTACTCTTCAGACATGGTTTTTATGTGCCTGCCATCAATTCAAATGCAGACATACAGATTCAGTACAGATTTGGAGCTGCAAAATCAATACAGATTTGGATGTTCTGACCTCTCTAAACAGGCTTATCCCTCCTTTCCACCATGACAATTTGTTTTTGATGTCTAAGCTGCTTCCGCCTATACAGATTCATAGAAGATAGTCTTTTGCCTGTTTCAGGTCTATTTTTGGTCATTTTGCAAGGCAAATCCAATTCCGATTGAAATCTTCTGAACAACCAGGATTTTCCCTTCAACTCCTTATTAAAAAGTTAAATGCCCCACAAGGACAGAATTTGAATACTCTTAATTTCGATCATCAGGGATGGGGAGGGTTCGAGGGTGTGTTTTGGAGCTTCAAGCTAGATGAGACCATGGGAGATCGTACAACCTACAACTATATACGATTTAGTGCTCTCCTTGCATTCTTATGTTTCTATTTCTGTTTTGGTTGATAATGTAGCTTCTTATGCCCATATTTGATTTGGCGTCATTTGTGCCTTCCTCTGCATGCAGATTCTCCTTTTGTCCATGTGACGAGGAAATTTTCTCGAGGAAATTAAATTGCCTGGTTTGTGGTTTACCATTTTGTGGTTTGATTGATTGTTTCTAGATTCGGTGCATGTGTTTTCTTGTTCGCATATTGATTACCATTTTGTGGTTTGATCGATTGTTTCTAGATTCGGTGCATGTGTTTTCTTGTTCGCATATTGATTACAGGGTTGGTTGGAAATGAGCTCCCTGTGAGAAAGCTAGTACCTGGAAATTGAGGAAGGGCAGTAAGTTATTAGATAAGGTCTGGTCGTTTCATAGATTTATCTTGATTTGGATTGTCTGTCTCTATGCTGTTCTTTGTCTCGGCACTTTGAGGAATTTTACCTAATGGCCAGCTATCAGACATTATCCTTTTATATAAGGTGTGTTCCGTACCCTTGGTATAAATTATTTTAAAAGCTAATCTTGTTTAGCGTATGTGTTTCTGTGCTTTAGATGACACGCCAAAGGGTGGATGTTGGAGTTGAAAAGGGATCTATGTTTGGTTAGTTCATGGGAAGTCCGTGTTATTTATCAATAGTGGTTCCCTCATTGGATTTGCTGTCATTCAATATCTACAAGTTAAGGTTTGGAGTTGAAGCTCGACTGGACCAAAGATCATGCATTGGAAAAAATTAACCTTTTGTTTGGATTTCTTCATGTGCACACTTCATCTGTCCAACAATACTTATCTGCTTCTTCTCCAACAATTAGAAGTATATATATGGCTTGTGGAGTAGCTAATTTCGGAACCATGCTTGGAGTTCCTTCCCTGACTTCTTTTGTTAGTCTTTGTTAGTTAATGCTTTTCAGACATTGGTTTTATATATGTCCCTTGTTGATTCAATGCAGACATGGCATTTGAAGATACAAAGTGTAATCAATATTTGTTTGGACGCGTGCTCAGTTGCTGAATTCTTTAACCCAGGCTTATTCCTCTCTCATTGTGACATCTTTCAATGCATGTTTGTGATATTAAGTGTATCTTTCTGCCAAAATAAACACATAGTTTGGTCCCTCTTCCTTTCTTTGTTAACCTTGCAAGACATTCTGTGGAGCAGAAACCTGTTTGCAGATTTGTTAATTCTGTCATCTCAAATCATTATTCAGAAAGACCAACAGAATCTTTTATACTGTTGAAATTTGAACTTGGATTTCATCTGCAGAGATCCAGCATACCAAGGCCGTTCAGGACTTGAAGTAGATGAACCAGACAGTCCATAGCTGCAAGAGCTCACTTTTCCTAAACTTTAGACAAATATATACTGTTCTGACTCCCGATTACTTGAATCGTCACTATCTTTTACCTGTTCTATGACCACAATTTTAACCAATGGCTGTTTGGTTGGTTTTCACTTTCCAGCAGTTGTGCACTCAAAAGGATTTGTCAGTTCCAGATCTTGTTGCCGGTAACATTTTCATGGGCTTCCTGATCATTACACCATAAGATTTTAAATCAGTGTTAACAGCTCCTGAATCTCAGACATCAGATAGGTATCACAGTTGGTGCAGGTTTCATTATATGAGTTCTATAGAAAAAGAATGTGTAACAATCTGTTGCTAACTGCACAACACTTTATTCTTGCCAATTCTTCCCAATAGACCAATATTATCCAGTAAGTTGGTGTTTATGTTGGATTGTTTCAATAACCTTGATGATTATAAGGATTCTTTGTTCAGATGACTAATTTAATGACCAATTCTTCCCAATATTATATCCAGTCAGTTGGTGTTTATGTTGCTTACAACGGTTCAAAGTTGATTTACTTGACTATGATTTGGAGTTGGAGCAGAAGATACTAAAATGAGCACAAAACTTTATGTTCTCACACATTTTTAACTTACCTGTGCCAAATTAAGATATGGCATTTTCTTGTTTCTGCTGTCTTGAATCACTGGTTTTCACATCATATCTCAACATCCTGGATTTTTTTTAAGGCACTAATCAGTTACATATTGGGTCTAAACTTTATTTTGATGAAATTAGTGATTATTAACCTGCATTTCCAGACTGACCACAATAATTTTAGGTTGTTGAGTAACCTGCGTTTCATGATGGATATTTTCGTTGTTTTTCAATTTGATCTTCTGTTTTGTGTTGTCTTTTCTCTCTCTTTTTTTTCTTTCTTCTTCTTTTCTCTCTCTCTTTTTTTTTTTGCCGTTTAACACTGCCTTTGCCGGTCCCAAGCCCGGATGAAAAAATGTGGAGGGAACTGCAAGTAGCTTGTTAATATGATTTGTGTTGTAAATTCTGGATTTGAGTTTCTGACGGAACCGCAGTGGAATCAATGACTGCAAAACCACAAACTGACTTTTGTCATCAAAGTAGAAGTAATCACCCTTTGTTGGTGATGGGATTTCGATCTTGCAATGGTGTTGCATTATCAGAGCATTTTTTTGCAGGTTACACTGTTGTTTCCGGAGCCAGGCCAAAGTGTTGGCAGCGGCAGTGCAGAGTAAGACAGGTATGGTTTGACAAGAAAGCCAGTATTTTCAGTTAAAAGTGTGGCCTCCAATATTATTGCCGCGGGACTATGTTTTTTTTTAACCCTTTTTTTGGGGGTAAAAAATTCGCATCCCTTCAGTTGTTCCACGATTGACTACATTTCAGGGACAAAGCGTCAGCTGACAAATCTGAAGACACTGGCAATGGAAAACTCTCGTGTCTGTTGAGCAGCTAGACTGCACTCTAATTTTCCTACTCGTTCAGAATTCAGATGCAGTGTTGGCGCGGCTAGCAGGCAACGGTGATCCTGTGCGGCAAGGGACGAGCAAAGTTTGTGGGCAGCAGGATGAAACAATAGTGGCCTTGTGCACTGATAGTATTTTTGAAGGGACTGCACTGATATGATAGTATTGATATTGTGATACGACGCCAGTACGCCACGAGATAGATTAAAATCCAGATATCTGCATCTTAAAATCCAGATATCTGCATCGTGGGTGTTGCCGTGCACCCTCTGATTCTTTGATTCTGTCATCTAAATTGTAAAAAGCGGCTACATATCCCTCCATTTCTTTCCTCTCTGTACACTCGTAAGCATCCAAAATACAAAGGTTTGGCCTATTGCGTTGTCAAATTGAGAAATTAGTCAACTCTACAATTTGAAATCAGTTTCGGCTTAGTTCAGTCAAGCATATCTTCATTGGCTATTAGTATACTGAACGTTTCGGCTGCCTTTGGTTTTTTGGGATTTGAGGAAAATTGGGTAATTCTTAAGGATTTGAGGGATTTGGGTAGTACTATTCACACCTTTGGATTGGAGATTTGAAGAAGGGCATTGGAGTACAAGAGAATTTTCCCTTTGCCCATGTCCATAGGAATTTGACTTTTATTTGCCTTTGAGACGACCAAAGCAAATCAATTTTATTTGCCTTTGAGACGACCAAAACAAATCAATTCATGTGACTTCGAGTGATCACAATTGAGACAATCAACAAGCAAATAGAAACTATATTTTATATATCAAGAATCCATTGATTTACTCTATTCTTAGTGTTCCAAACACGGAAACACCATACTTCGTCTTGTGTTCCTATAATCTTTCGATTTCTGTGTATATTTTTACATCCTGCGTTCAAGGCCCTTCGCGTTAATACTATCCCCATCTACAAAAAAATATAGGGATTTAGAATGGATGTAGTGGGATATATCAGCATAAAAATAAGCAGCAATTTTACTAAAACAGTGCACATCCGTATGTGTCATGGTCAACTAGGCAACAATATTAAAAGGGGCAAAAATGTCCAAGTGGCAGTTCGGACAAACAACTAGTGCAGTACTTAAATATGCAAAAAGGAAGCTCTAAAAGAAAGAAACCCAAACAAAACAAAACCATCCCCACCCACAGTGGCAAGAACTAGGATCCTCCCCCAACTTTGATCTCTCCCACCACTACTACTCATCCATCAAATCAACGTCGCTCCCCTCCTCCTCTCGCGGCGCGGCTCCTTTCCAAGATTCTCCGATCCCCAAACCCCCAATCGCCAGAGCAAAGAAGGGGGAACATCGCCAGGAAAAAGATCGGTGGCGAGAGAAGGCGGAAAGCGAAGGAAAGCGAGGGGAGCAAAAGGAGAGAGAGAGAGAGTCTTTTCAATTTTCTTTTGTTTTTCTTTTCTCCCTGCAAGAGGCAGCTCGGCGTTGCTGCGAATTCCATCCATGTCGCTCGCCGTCCTCAGGATGAGGTTTTGATGCCCGAATCCGGCCTTTTCTCTGTCTATTTCAGCACCTCATCGATTTTTTTTGGCTCTTGTGATGCCCTCTGTCGTAGAGCTCCCCAATCAGGGCTTCCTCACTTGTGCCATGTTTGTTGCTCACTCCTTTCTTGATTATTAGTTGGTAGCTCACCAGTTTTTGCAGGGGTTTTGGCAGATCATGTAGTCTGCCTGCTCAATCCCTGGTCAGTTAATCTAGAAACCTCATTGAATAAACAAGTTCAGAGGTTCTTGATTCCTTTTGTTGCAATTGCAATTGCAACTTTGTTGTGCAAATTGTCCATTGACCCATACAAAGGAGATTGTTCTTGGCGCATTCTGCGGCAATGGACGATGTCCCAAGTCAATTGCTCTTCTCCCATCCGGAGGTGCCTGATAGCTTCGATGATTTCTTGAACAACATCACAACCTGCACCCACACCCACACCTGCAATCCTCCTGGTCCGTCGGCAACCATGCACACCCACACATGCTTGCACACGCACACCCAGGTCTTCGCCTCCGGCAGTGGCGAAGATGACATCAAGGAGGACCTGACGAAGACCCGGAGGCCGCTGGGGAACAGGGAAGCCGTGCGCAAGTATCGGGAGAAGAAGAAGGCGCATGCGGCTTTCTTGGAGGAGGAGGTCAAGAAGCTCCGCGCCGCCAATCAGCAGCTGCTGAAGCGATTGCAGGGCCATGCTGCGCTCGAGGCTGAGGTGATCAGGTTAAGGAGCATCCTACTCGATGTCCGGGGCAAGATTGATATGGAGATCGGCACATTCCCTTACCAGAAGCCGTGCAGTGTTGGCTCTGTGGCATGCACTGATCCAGGTATGTGCTTCAATGGCAATTCTGAGATTGGAGGGGTCTGGGAGGAGTGCTCTAGACCAGTGGGTGCAGATCGCATGATCGACAAAGATGGTAGCATGTCACAGGAAATTGATATCCCAGGACCGGTGCATTCCATTTCCATGGATGTTGTCGGAAGCTTGGTGACTTCTGCTTCTCTATCTGAGTGAATGCTTTTAAAGGATGTTTCAGTTGTTTGGCAGATTTTCAATCCATGCCATGCCAGGTTCTTCTTACTTGAGGGGTAAACAATTTTTGTCAGTTATACTCTCATGGAATAAAAGGGTAACAACGAGTAGGAACTGATCTGGTGCCTTTTATGTTCTAATGATACTCCTTGTGTAAGTTTTTCTTTTTTAGTTAATGACTCCTCGTGTAAGTGTTCACTGTGTATAGACTACGGAGTACTCGTGTATATATATATATAGCACTGCAAGAATATGTGCTTAATCATGTTTTTGAAAATTGTAATGCCAGTATGTAAATGAAGTATACTTCAGTTCTGATATCTGTTAGTATTCAATGTGTTGCTTCCTGTTAGTTTCACTCACTGTTACTGTAATAATTTTACTGTAGAATCAACTCCGTTTATCCTGTTGCTTCTATATTTTTTTTTCATTGTAGTCATGATACTTGTATAATAGAACTTGAAGAAGCTAATATTTAGTTGTAACGCCACATGTAAATGAAGTGTGTTTGGCTTCTGATTCGGAATCGGCACTACTCAGATGCTGACTCTATTACTGATAAACTGTTCTGCCTCAGCTAGTTGCAGATGCTGTTTAGTGCAATAGTTCAATGCAGAGATGATTCTGGCTAAACTAGTGTTCGCATCTGCAAGACCTTTCTTTATTCAGCAATTGCTTTACAACTATGGAAATATAATTAATCATGCTGTTTATCCTGCAGAAGAATATAAAGGATGCCACCCAACGGTGCTGAAATGCTGAGGACTTAGGACTGAGTGTAAGCCTTCTAATGATGTGAGAATATTTGCCACGGTTGTGGTTTGTACATCTGTACAAAGTGTTCGCTATTCATTTATTCAATACTTATTTCGAAGTCAACTTTAATTTCGCATCTAACAAAATTCTGCTGCAAGTAACCAGATAAGATATCAGTCTCGAGCAAAAGGCTTCAATATTCTGTGCACTCATCTGCTTTTAGATTTACATATTAGACTGTTCCTAATACTGCAACACTTTACTTAGACTGCTACTATCTGTCTCTCCAAACTGTAATCTGACTAGTCTAAGATGCACAGTTATTTTTAGCTATGCAATTCTGGACTTAGAATGCTGGATTGTTGTTTGCAACAACAAACCTAGTTTAAACATTTGCATAGGTGCTCCCTCAAGAGAATAACCAAGGCAATTAAATAAATTATATATATTCTCGAGTAAAAAAATACTCAAAAATTAATTGCATTGGTAGTTCATGTAATATTCAGCACAGATGAATCATGCCATGTAGGAATGGTAGATATTGTTCAGGAATTTTTGGAAAGAGATCAATTCTGATATTAAAATTTGGAAGAATAAAACTTCTTTTTTTCTAGAAACAGGAAAGAGACTGGGAAGCTAGCATCTGAAGCTTTATAGCTTTACATGCTATTCTGATTGTGAATTGTGGTGCAATGGATCATCTGGGAGGGGCACTATTCTAAGTTAGGACAGGGAATGCATTTTGATTGGTCATCTTTCATTCTTTCCCTAGCAGAAGCCAATATCAAAAGCAAGAGTGAATGATTTGACCTGAGAATTGGCACTGTAGTACTTTATTGAATGATGTTATATCAATAGTTGCTAGTGCAAGATAATAATGATTATACCAACAATTGCTAGTAGTATAAGATAATGATCTCATCATCTAAAATTATTGACACTAATTATTCCCTTATATGCATAATATGCTTTCAGTAAATGCTACTATTTCATATGAAGTACTCTTACGTCGCAAAAACATCTATATGTTCGTTTCAAAAAACAGAAAAAAACATCTATATGTTTTGCTGTTGTCAGTTGTCATTACATCAGAAATATTCTTTTTTCAGCAGTAGCGTATTTCTGTTGTATGAATTTTTATTTCAGATCACCATCAAAACACAATTTAATAAAGGAATCGTTTCCGTGAAAGCAAAGTCTGAATTGGACACTTGTTTAGTTGTTTTAGCATTGTATCGTGATTGCCTCAAATATTATGTTAATTGTCATCTCCGTCATTGACGGTTCCAGAAATTGTAGGTTGATTTGTTGGTTACCCACTCTCCTTGACCACGTACACAGAGACACCAAAAAAAAAAAGGAGAAGAAGAAACGTGCTCCGGTTTTACCCTTGATTTTTTATTTTATCATTGCAGAAGTCCTTTCATTTTCACTTGCGACTATTATTTTGCTGATTGAAAAAATTGCATATACCATTTTCAGCTCCAATCATGATTTATTTTTTTATACCTGAGAAAAGAAATCTATGGGTTATTCGGGCAATTGGGCATCTCCTGACGTAATTATGCATGAATGCACGTCTCCAATAAACGGTCCAAATAAATTCCAAATTGAGATGTGTTTCTTTACACCATATCCAAGCAAGGTGTCTCCAATAAACAGTCCAAATAAAATCCAAGTTGAAATGTGTCCCTTTACTCCAAGCAAGATCAGGGGGAACCAACAGCAATTGAGCAAGTTATGATGCAATGAATCAATGATGCATTTTATCTCAAGGTGAAAAAAAGAAAGGTAAATCAACATCTCTATGTGTCCGTACAAGATTGCATATGTACTAAGTTACTGACCAATTAACAGGAGTTCAAATGAAATAATCATGTACCAAATCTAACAAGAAACGTGAACATCGCCTACGTCATTGACTTGAAAATTCCAATGATTATGTTTCGGAAATGAGCTTGGCATCTTACCATTTGGCCACGTTTCTATCGCCTAGAGGTGAGCATGAGGCGTCAGGAGCGTCATCCTGGTCCCTATTGGGATCTCTGTTCCTACAGTAATTAAACTGTTTGTTAATCTATCAATTATAAAATATAAGAATTTCTAATATTTAATTTTTTTACCATAATATAACATCCCTGCATAGATTCATGTGATTTCCATCATTTATTCCAAAGCCAACCATATGCTTGAAATAGAATATAATCAATTCAAAATTTAAAAATTGACAACTGAAATGAGTAAAAAGTAATCTTTCGACTTAATCTTATTATTTGCTAAATAACCTATAAATCCTTCTATAAGAACAACTGATTTTTTTTAATTGGACAAAAGAAAAAAATAAATAACCCTCAACAAAATGAGGGATAGTTGGGGTGGGAGGGTGGCCATAAATAACATGAAAAAAAATCAAATGAGTGGTAGTTGATGGAATCCTTATATTTGCAGATAAATTCTAAATGCTTGAAATGCTTAAATTTATGGGCCGAGGGAGTAAAATTCTAAAAGATCATGTCCAGACATCCCCAACTGTTTATTTTGGCTGGCGTGTGGCTGTGAGCAGCATTATAATGGAAGATGAAATCATAATGATCAACCTCACAATGAGTGGTTGCAGAGCTCACCATGTCATACGCTTTGCTGAGTGAGTTCAGCTTGGGAGTTCCGCTGAGTGGGTTACACAGTGTTCTTCTTGTGAAATGCGAACAGTTGGGTATAGAGGCAGATGCCTGAACCAAAACTGTGATGATCTACGAGTCTGGTTGACCTATGGCAGTGAAACTGTGCGCATCATTCTCATATCTCATTATCAATAAAGCAGAGACAGAAAGCTATGTTAATATTGTTCTTGTTCATCTAGTTGTTTTCAGTGTTGATCTACAAGGTTGGAAGCGGCACCATCGAAACACAGTATTTCTAGCGAATGCAAAACATTGCTTACACTACAATAGTACCACACTATCCAATATGGCAGAGGTACAAGTTTATTTCATTTTTAGACAGTAGAGCTGCGAAAGTTGGATACTGCAGCACACAAGACAGAAGATGTCTACGAACAATTCTAGTTTTGAGTTTCTGTAAGGCAAAGCACCAGACGATCCATTGAACGTCGGCACACTAGTCCAGATCAGTGACCAGGCCTCAATAACACATGAAAAAATGAACGAGGAAAAAATATATGGATAGAACTTCTATATTTCTGTTCTTAATGTTTTAAAAACCTTAGAAAAAAATAAACCGCGATGAAGAAGCTCTAAATCAACTCTAAAATCAAGCTTCAAAATACAATTTTTGGCTATATCCGATAAACAAACAAGCATTGTCAGCCAACAAGCAAAAGATGAGAGGTTTCAAACTTTTGGAAAGTTAGGTACCCGGCAGGCCAGCGCGTAGCAACGTCGGCCTCGTCCTTCACCATCACAGAAAGATACACCGTCGGAGTTGCCGGTGCCGGATAAGCAGAGGAGAAAAAAAAGGTAAGAAACCCTGTAGATAAGCGTTGGAGTTGAAGCAGGATGAAAGGCAGTCAATCTGCACAGGTAAAGGCGTCCCTTCCAACTTTCATCTTGAAGTTGCAATCCGACAAAGATGTTGCCCATCATAGGCATACACCTTCAGATAAGATTGTGGCATAGGTTTAGGAGCAAGGATTATACACATTCACCAGTTCTCCAAAACTATTCTCATCGTGTTAATTCATGATTAGCTCGAACATTTTTCCGATAAAAGACAAGATGCAACAGAAAAAAAAAAGAGATCATCTTCTCCTCAAGCAGAAACCTAGAGGTGCTGGGATCTGATTGTCACGGATGCACAATGGTGGATGCTAACAGATCTATGTTGTCATCGTCGGTGGGTAGCCAATCACAAAAATCTCCACATCATTTCAAATGTTGTGCTCTCCAATCAACAGCAAAATCCGTGCTGTCATCTTCCTCGTCACTAGATGAGTCGCTGCTTGACAACATGTCCATACCAACAGGTTTGCTGTTTGCTTTAGTGGTACGGGCGGCTTTTGACTCGGTAAGCTGTTTCTTCAGCATATCCACCCGCTGCCTATACTCCCTGTGTACAAAATAAATGGACGATGAAAATAAAAAACCTTCGCTTCGCTAAGCATGAAGGCTCAAAAATAGCAAGTTGTGGCTAAGGAACATACTCTTGCTCTAATGTCAAGTACTCTTCTCTCTCAGCAGCAGCATCAATCTACAGTTCACATAAAAAAAAGCTAATATAGCAGTTCAAACTAGCATTTGCACCAGACAAGCGAAGGTATTCTTTATATTGTGTAACTAGGTAATAGAGAAGCCTAACCTCCTCTTCTTCAAGGCGATCATCAACTTCCTGCAAGTCCTCCTGAATTTCCTTCTCAAATTCTTTGTAAGCATCACTGAAAAATATTTTTTAATAATATATTTCATGTTAAAACTTCAACTATCAATCAATACAAACTGAATACAGTTCTTTTTTTGCAGGAAGAATATGATCTAAAAAGAAGAGAACAAATGTCATAGTTCACAGAAAAAACATAAACACGATTATTAACCCTCTGACCCTCATGCAGGTATGAACTTGACAAGTGCACAAGTGCAAAAAGGGTGTGGAAGTAACAGTAGTAAGGTTAATAATCAGCCTTAATTATATTGTTAAATTCTGCTGACATCTTCCATGAAAAGGAAAAGCCTGAAATTTTTATCATGAATGATGTTCAAACTTGCCATTTCAAAAGGTATATTCATTCTTCCACAAGGGTATATTATGTGAGAATAACAAGTGTAGCTGCAAGAGGTCCAAGCATATACTTAATAAATGCAATGCATATGCAAGTCGATGAAAACCTTACTTGATATCGATTTTCGGAGGTTGGATACCACGAGCACGGAGATCTGCATCTTTGTTATCAAAGAAACCTTCTGGTAGCGATCCTTTTACTTCAGAAGTTTCTGAACTCTTTACGGCTTTAGACGATTGACTTGGTTCACTGGGTTGCATGCCATTGCTGTTTTTGTTGCCATCAAAGAAGCCATCAGGTACACCTTTCACCTGCATGCGATTTGAAATTGGAGGATTTCCAGGTGCACTATTCGCCTCAGTAGGAGCTGGATCTTCATCTTCATCATTATAGTCAAAAAAGTTCCCTGGAAGAACACCTTTGACATTGGTATTGGCTTGACTTTCTTTCTTTGGTATTTTCTCAAAATTGACAGATGGCTTAGTTTTGCTTGCTTCTTTGGTTTTTTGCTGAACATCAGCTACCTCCCGACGCACAGACCTTCCTTCAGAACCAGCGCCTAGTCATATAAGTTGTTATATTAGGGTTCATGAGCATGAAACATATTTTTTGGACTGCTAAATGGACACTTCAGTTCTTTCTATAGCATATATAAATAATACTACTAGCAGGAAGCTTGATAAAATAGGAATTAATATATGTTCTGTACATGCAGGTGATCACTCTACAGAGGATAGCATAACATGGATATTTGTTTCTTTCTTCTTCAGAAAATACAAAATGTTGTCTCAAACAAAAATGTTCAAAGAAAATTTCAAATCCTAACACCATTTCTCACACAAATAGTAACATTTCGCAGGTTTAGCTATTATCAGATGTACTAAGGAATGTAAAGTCTAAGATGCAATCTTAGCTGACTGAAATTTCAGTAGTTTATGGCGATTTTATGGTAAAGTTAAATCTGTTTACAATTAGCCTATAAAAATCAAAGCACTACATGATAATGCTATCCTGCTTATTTTAAGAATAAGATAATCAATTTCATTGAAGATCTATACAGACACATGGCATATGAGCATTGTACCATGTGTGGACCAAAATGTGAAATTAGATGCATGATTAATACAATTCTAGAGCCTATCAACTGAGAACTCAACGAAAAATCAATATTTACAGAGATCTCACAAATAAAAGGATATAAGCAAATGACTACAAAGTATAACCAAGGCTGTTCCAGTTGCTTTCTCACTCTATCTTTAAATTTAGCGCAGACAGATGGGAGGGCGTGTTTGTTACTCTCACCATCACTATGCCTCTTCATTCCCTGGTTTTCAAAAAAGTTGGCAGGCAATGTGGAAGATTTTGGTTTCTGAGACTCTGCAGGTTGTTCATGATTGGCCTTATTGCCACGAGACCCTGCACCTGATGGAGCTTTAGCAGATGCAGCTGCAGCGGCTTTTGCCTGTATCATAAAAATGACAAGATGGGTCAGTAATGTACATGAGCACTTTAAATAACAAATATACTTCAAATCCTAGTAACAGCCATAGATCTGAATATATGTATGTGAAGTTATAGAACAATCAATTATCCTTGGAGCAGTTAAACTAGACTCACATCTCTGCAATTTGAACAAACAAATTCTATGGGATGTAATGCATGCTATTTAAGGCAGCAACTAACTTCTAAAGGGAAAAGAATAGAAACACCATGGTTATCAGCAATATGAACCGCATAATATTTTTTCCTTTTAGATACTAACAAAAAAAAAGATAATTAGTGGAAGTGAACATAACCAGAATGGTACCATACTGCCAAAACAACCCACAGACCACAGCATGTATGAAATTTCAACCATCTTCGATGCTAATACAAAATTTTATCCAAATTGATAAGCTAGCATGCTCAGCAGAAATGTATTTGCAGTTACACTGTTGAATTTCTATATGTATTTGTGTTTCCATCAACATATTCATACCACATGAGATAGTAAAATGATGTGTTATGTGTACATCCTTCGAATGTCAATCCAAGCATAGATCATCCAGAATGACTATGATTCATTTTCTCTGTGTACCTCATGATGTTTTCGTGAAACTTGATGTGCAGGCCAAAGTGCTTCAGATTTCAGAGTAACATTGCAGATTCTGCAGATGGGCTGATCAAATTCATTGTACCTGAAGGAATGATGCACCTATCTGTTAGAATGGTGTATTGCTTAAAAACAATCCACGTCCAGTATGTTGCCATCTAATACTACCCTTGGTCATCAACGCTCATGATATTCAAAACTGGATAAAACATAGCAACAATTCTGTCAGCAACCATTCCGGCTGAACAAGATGCAAAGGTATTATATAAATTGTGATCAATGTTGTAGGTTTTTCATGGCTCGCTGCAAATTACACCAAATTGACAGGAAACTGGAACCCATTAGCTATGTTATACTTGTAATATTCTTCCAATCTACTGGAGGGTACGCAAACCGGTTCAAGCCCTTAAAATCCCAGCCTGGTTGTAACAAAACATTCAAAATTGCCTAGGGTTACATCAAGCAAACGCGCGAGCAGCCACAGCACGAGCTTATCGGTAGGATCCGGAGACAAAACTACTAGTAGCATACGAATCCGCGAGAGAAGAAGAGCAGAGGCACACAGATACATGGGGGAAGAGGGAGAGTAGAGGAGATATATACCTGACGAGGGAGGGGTCGATGCGCCTCTCCTGCTTCTCCTTGGCCTCGCGCTCCCGGAGCTTCGCCCGGAACAACGCCTTCCTCTGATCCATGGCGGCGCGAGGAGGATCCTGCCACACGCCCCACCACAACCTCGAGCCCGCCCGCCCGCCCAGGCGCGTCCCGGCAACCCCGCCTGCGCCCGTGGAGGCTGCGCCTGCTTCCGAGCTCCACCCGCGCCACGCGCGTCGCGCCCGCGCCCGCCCGCACCCCGCTGCTGGCTGCTCTCCGGCGGCCGCGAAGATGGCGGCGGCGTCTTCTCCTCCTCGTCTAGAACCTTCCTCCGAGCTACGACGGGAGACGCGGCCGCGAGCGAGCGAGCGAGTGGGCTGCTAACGTGATGGCCGCGAGCGTGTTCTCCGTGGGGAGAAAAAGCCCAGCCCGAGAGCGCCACGGCCCAGGCAATGTCGCCGAGACCTCAGGGTGGGCTGAATGGAAAGTCGGCTGCGGAGATTTTTTTTTTTATAGGACTAGGGATGTAAATAGAAGGTAATCCACGGGTTTTCGCGTCATGGCTCGGCTTGCCGTGTCATAGAGAAGCAAGTGGATCAACCCCAAAACTCATTTATATATCAAATTAGTTGGTAACCCGCGAGTCAAACCGCGGGTTATCCACTCATTTTGCCTATAAGCGGGTTTGCGGGTTGGCCCGCTTGCACCCTAGTCGTGCGTTGCAATTAAAAATATGTCGCTGGAAGTTACGTATACTGAAAATATAAAAACTGGAGTCCCGTTGATTTAAAAAAAGGATGTCTGAGATTTTTCACGCCGCCAAGAGTAAAAATTTTAGTCATGATTGAATCTATGAGTAAAGCTTTTAGTATTTTAGATGACGTGAACTAATCTCGTACATCCATTTTTACATTATAGTTTTTAGGTTTTCACTGTATTTAGTTTACGCAACATATTTTCACATGTTACTATCGAATGAAAGCACAATTCAGGGATTAGGGATAAGGAGCATTTGAAATAGGAAGTATAATTTTTTTACCAACGTTGAGAGGCCCACACGTAAGTGATAAGGGGTTATGGTGGCAGATTGACTACTATCATCATTGCCAATATTTACCGTAGTATAGATGTTTCTCCAAAATCTTCACTCCAAATAATGCTCTAAGGGTATATTCTTGTGTAAAAGAAGGCATGTTTTTTTCTGCACCTTTTCAATTTTCTTTCTCATTACTCATGCGCATGCTTCACGAGTTGCTAAACGTTATATTTTTCGCCAAAATTTTCTATATAAAGGTTATTTCAAAAATTATATTATCCTATTGTTTAAGTTTTCTTAAGCTAGACGTGTTTTGTTGGTTACCAAACACTGGGCATACCATGGTTCCTCGTTGCGTTCGATTCAACTGTTTGGCTGAGATTATTGGTGCAAAAAAAATTTAAAAAAGGTGCAGGTAGGATTAACTAAATATTAAATATTATAAATAAAAATATATATTTATTTGATTCTTAATAAATTTATACGTATAAAACTTTTGCACAAAATACATTGCTTGTCGTTTAGTAGTTTATAAATAGTGCTAGTTAAGTAAGCTGTGACGAACAGTCGAACACGGCTTTAGACGGATGTTCCGCTTACTGCTACAGTTGTGGGCTTGTGGCTTAGCTTGTCGCATTCTGTTCTACTGTTACAATCAAGACTGTCGTAAATCGTAACAAACGCTATTATGATAATACATACTCGATCAACTTTGATTATCAAGTAAAGTTTCACGATCAAAGGTTGAGACGTTAAACTAACAAACTTCCATTTCTCGTGTATTTTGGACCGGGAGCCAACACGTCGCTTTAACAAGCATGGCCAGCGACAGCGAGCGCTGCCCGCCGGTGACAAGTTAACTGCACAAGCAGCAACGCGAGGCCTAGAATGCTCTCATCGGACAAAGACCTCCAAAAGAAAAAAGAACGGACAAATCGTAGCAGATACTCCGACAGCAGCCGCTTTCAGTACTCTTCCAGCTCGCGACCGCCTATCTATCATCAGTCCGCTCCCCATCATTCAATTCATTCCGCCAATTCATTCTCCTCCTCCCAAACCATCAGCTTATCCCAAGGTATGCTTGGATTAATTCTGTTTCTTTTAGTGTTTGTTTAGCTTGATTTGTTGTGGCATATGCACACAACTGCTTGACTGCTTCCTGTCAACTGAATTCTTGGGTGGGAATTATCTCTGGTTCGGATCAATTTCTCTTCTTTTTACTTTCTTTCAATATTTTTTTGGGGCTGTTATCATGTCTTGGATGTCCAATTCAAGTTTGCTCATGTAATATTTGTCGTGACAGTTCGATGGTGAATCGTGAAATTTGTGCTGCTGCCTGCTACTACTGAATTCTCAGATTGTCACAGGAATCAAGCAAAAGATGTCAAACAGAGCCACGCACTGGTGCTACGTGTGCCGGCGGCCGGTTCGCATCCGCGGCGGCAGCCAAGACGTCACCTGCCCAAGCTGCGACGACGGCTTCGTCCAGGAGATGAGCGAGATGGGACGGAGGACGGCGAGCAGCACGCTCGGTTTCGTCGGGCCAGACGCCGGCGACGAGTTCCTGCTCCGGCGATCCCCGGTGATGGAGGCGATGTCCACCCTCATGCGGCACGCGGCAACGGTGGGCGGCGACGAGCGCGAGGTCGACGTCCACGACGAGCATGGCGGCGGCGATGGCGTGCCTGCGCACGCGAGACTCGGCGTCCTCTTCAGGGGAGGGCCCCGTGTCGGCGTCGAGCGCCGCGGCGGATACTACCGTGCCGGTCTGGAGGCGCTCTTCGAGCAGCTGCAGAACCAGCTGGGGAGCAGCAGGCAGGGCCCTCCACCGGCGCCGCCGTCGGCGATCGACGCGATGCCCGTGGTGACGATCAGCCGCCGGCACCTCCGCGCCGAGCCGCGGTGCCCGGTTTGCCAGGACGAGTTCCAGCTCGGCGCCGAGGCGCGGGAGATGCCGTGCGCCCACCTGTACCACGCCGACTGCATCGTGCCGTGGCTGGTCCATCACAACTCCTGTCCCGTCTGCCGCCACTCGCTGCCGCCGCCGGCGACCACCGCTTCCGGTGGAGGAGCTAGCGGCGGCGAGAGGCAAGTCAGGCGAGGCTCGCGCTCGTTCCTCTGGCCGTTTGGGCCGACTAGCTCCACATCTCACTCTCACGAGTGTGAGGATGGCTCGAGCGACACGACGGTTTACGAAGATCCTGGTAAAGTTAGATATATTCGATGGCATTACAACCATTGAGACAATTCCAATCTGAGTGGGCTATGGGTTCGTGCATTTGTAATGAAAACTAAAAAACAAAATGTGGTGCTTAAGCTGTACATGCATTCAAAATAAGGCCGTCCAAAATGTATAAAACCAGCGGCATTCAGTAGCAGATTACTAGGGTCCCCGAACAGTGACAATTTTTCTCCCGTGGAGCGCAATTACCAGATATAGAAGAGGGTCCAGAAAACAAAAAAAAAAATATTTCATCTAGCAGTTCTTTGACTAGTTCCAGCCACCGCTGCCGCCGCCGGCGGAAGCTCCCCACCCGCTACCACCATCCTGTGCTGGGACCGCCTTTTTGCCGCTGCCCCATCCTGGGGCATCGTTGGATCCACCGGGTGCTGCTCCCCAGCCACCGCCGCCGCCATCAGAACCACCAGCGGGTGTTCCCCAGCCTCCACCACCACCACGGTTACTATCACCACCTCCAGAACCTCCGTCGCCACCACCAGCCCACGAGGAACCACCACCTGTGCCCCATCCACCTCCGCCACTTCCAATATTGTCAGTCCATCCCCCACTGTTGCCGCCACCGCCACCGCCACCACTCCAACCTCCGCCGCCACCATCATCACTGCCAAAGTTACCTCTACCACGCCCGCGCCCACGTCCACGACCACCAGAGCTGTTCCTTGAATCAAACCTGCCTCCTGCTTTAGACAAAAGATACCAAAAGGGAGTTCGTGACTACTTAAGGATCCATCAACAATTCAATAAATGTAACAAATCATATTACTATCCAAAAATAGTAGCTTGGCCGGTTTTATAGTTGCCTCAAGATTAGCTTTTCACATGTTTAGTGGGAACCTCATCGGTGATATCAATGATTGGAGAAGCACAAGATAAAGAAAGTGCAATGGGAAGTAGAAAATTGAAATATGAAATAAATTGACCTGAACCACATAAACAATCAGGAATCCCAAATACAGAGGGCAATATTTTTTAATTTTTTTTTGAAGTAAATGGTTCTCATGATACTGGCGCCTGCAAACAGAGCGTGAATCACCCTAAAGAATGCTACAGCCAACTGAAACTGACACAAGCATATCTATAGTTCTGCTAACTGAAGAACTAAAGGCCCATAGAATTTAAAGTCCTCCATGCAAATATTAAGTATGCAAACATCTTTGAGTCATAATAAAGCTGGCCTGCCAATACCATGCAAATAAACTGGATGATAACATTGTGCAAGTGCGTTAAAAACTAACCTGATCTTCCAGAGAAAGGTCTATCCCTGTCGTTGTTACCATCTCCTCTCCATCCATCATTTCCACCACCAGTGCCACCACCATTACCCCAACCTGAACTTTTCATAGGCACCATTGCAGCAACATTTCGCATTGATGGACCAGCATCAGGTGGTGGTTTGTCAATATGCTTCTGGAAATAGGACACTAGGCGATCAATATTGTCAAAGTCCCTCTTACGAAATCTAAAGCCCTTTGGGTATAACCCAATATACTCGTGATGTGGATTTGTACTCCTAATGTAAGATAAAATAAATGTGCCTGGATGCTCATGAGATATGCCGAAACAATACACTATTCTCATAGGATTCTCTGATTTCTCAGCCCTTAACATCTCATCAACCTCACTTTTTGATCCTTTCTTGAATTTGCGGTACAAAAGCATGCTCTTCAGGTGGCCTACCAATGGATCCACGTACCTGTCTATAACCTATTTGCCAAAATAAAGCACCAGTAGTTAGCCAAAAATAACAGAATGACAATCTACTGCTAAGTGATAACAGCAAGCAAAAAGAAACACAGAACCATGCTGGCGTGCAAAACAAACACAGAAAAGAGTCACCACTTACTGATACTGAACTAGAGTAACAATGGTAACAAAAAGAGATCATGTGTACCAACCTCATCAAGATCTTCAAAAGTTTCATTATCAATTGTCAATGTTTTTCCAAGGCGAAGCAAGCTTGTAATATCTTTATGATCCTTTCCACCTTCAGTTATCTCCTTGTGTGCAAGGACACCATCAAAAATTTTCAGAGTAAGTGTCAGAAATGATGGTCCCCTAGAACTAGGCCGAATGACCTTCTCACCAGGTTCTTTGTCAGATAAGAACTGTTTCAGGAGGGTTCATATTAGATTTTACGACAGGAGAAACTAAATAAACAGAGTGGGGAATATCTGATCGATAAGAGCTTGACTAACCTGCATAGCTTCTTCAGCTGTCAAGTTCTGAAAGTGAGGATGGACAATCATCCGGGGTTTGAAATGTTTCTTTGCCAGTTCTTTCTGTTTCCGAAGCTTATCTTGTTCATTCTGAGAAGTCATGTCTTGTTCATGATTGTACGGATCATGATTACCTCTGGACAATGGTCTTCTCCTCAATTCACTTGCCTTGCATGTTAAGTAAACCATGAACCTGTTTTTATTCACATTCTTAATTTTGCCCGTTAATACATCACCTTCATGTAACTGCAGAGTTTCTAGATCAAAGCCCTCATCAGAATAGTTATCAGCCATAACTATGGCTTTCAGACCAGAATCGAAGGTGCAAATGATTCGGTTATCTTGTATACTACGAACAGTAACTTGAACAATCCTTCCATCTGATATGGTGTCCTCAGTTTCCCCAGAAAGCATCCAGAATTCCTCATCTGGAGTTGGCTCAGCATAGGGGGTCCTCCAATCAGGGAAACCGCACAACAGTTCCCATTTTATATCTTTCAGTGTTTGCTCTTTATTATGGAACTCTTCTGGCATACTCTTCATGTACTCACGAATGTCGAGCGATTTCAGATAACGTGGCTTTTCTCTGACATGCTCAATTGCCATCTCTTGCTCATCATCGTCCATTTCATTTGCTTCATGTGGTGCTTCCTCAGCAAATACATCCTTTGCCAAAGTTTTTGCTAATGCATATGACTCAGGATGTATCCTTGTATCCTCAAGTAAATCAATGATTTGAGCACTCGCGGCAGCTCCACCACTACGGCGAACACGTAAAAAGCCAGATGCATTCATGAATACTTTCCTGCCTAGAGGTTTTACAAGATCTTTGCGACTAAAAATGGATCCCTCTCGTAACAATTCTTTCTGTAGAGCTGAAGCTTTACGTGGCCCCAAACCAGCAACGAATTGTAGAGTTGAAAAATGCCACTCATGGCTAGCAGCAAGATTAACGTCGAAACCTATTTGATTTGTTGCATCAACCATAATTTGCTCAACAACTTCATATTTCTCATCAGGAGTAAGGAACTGCTCAAGGGGGTGCAGTTTCCATGAAAGTATCTCTTTTCCAGGTCCGCAGAGTGTTGCAGCCATAGCCAATGGATTCTGCAGGTACCGACCAAGAGCCACAGCCCGCTTCACAATACCTATACATATTTAATACAAACCAAGAGTGTTGAGTTATTCAGAAGGTACCTAACCAGGAAATGCTAACAGTAAATCAACATATTGCTGCTGTACCTGACTGGCCAGGCAGTTGATCTGAAGATATCCGTGAGTTCTCATACAAGCGAGGCACAGACTCATCGCCATAAACAATGCTAAAGTTCTCCATTTGTGGGTTCACATCTCTTGGATGATCTTCCACAATTTTAAAAATAACCTATGCAATGATGGATGTTAGTTTAAAATAAAGCAATCAAGTTATAGCTTTACATCATCAACTTAGGCCCTGTTTAGTTTCCAAAACAAAAATTTTCACCCTGTCACATCGAATTTTTGGATACATGCATGAAGTATTAAATGTAGACAAAAAAAAACCAATTACACAGATTGTGTGTAAATTGCGAGACGAATATTTTAAGCCTAATTGCACCATGATTTGACAGTGTGGTGCTACAGTAAACATTTGCTAATGATGGATTAATTAGGCTTAATAAATTCGTCTCGCAGTTTCCATGGCGGAATCTATAATTTGTTTTGTTATTAGACAACGTTTAATACTTCAAATGTGTGTCCGTATATCCGATGCGACACCCTAAAATAAAAATTTTTGCCAACTAAACCGGGCCTTAAACAAAGTACAATTGCCTTCACAAATGACCAGCAGGTATAAAGAAAAGACTCAACCAATCACAAGCATCCAACAGCAAGGTGAGCTTAATTGGTGTTCATTATAGCACAGGCTGCAAGAAATTCTCTGCAGATGGTCCCTCATGAATGCTGCTTCTGGTGACATACTACTAGCAACTAAACAAGCCATGCTGCTGGAGGATATAACTTTGTACAGGTTAACTGAACATGTAACCTTATGTGAAGAAAGAAGTTGCAAATGAATAGAATCGAAAAATACCTCATAAATGTCATCCTTGAGTTGTCTGCAATTATAGTTTGATGCTCCTACACATACAACATGAGGCTGATGGTCAGTCATAAACTTCAAAACTCGCTGCTGGTCATTCTTCTTCCGCTGCTGCTCAGCAACACCTTGAGATCTAATACTGATAGAACCCGCATATAGAACATCAACCAATTCTCCAGATGAGTCAAGCATTACAAAAGTGGTTGCTGGCTTCCCAGGTCCCCAGCAACAGGCCATAACCCTCAACTCGGATTCATCATCGAGATCAATATCAGAATCCTTCTTGTCTGCATCCTTCTTCTTCCAAGGAGCCACAGATACCTTGTTCCACAATTGCTTCCCGTATTCCATATTAAGCCAATTTTTGGCTTTCGCTGTCAACAGAGATCGAGCTTCCTTTTCCATTGATGGAAGAAGGAAATTGAAGAAGGCATCATCCAGAATCATCTTCCGTTGCTCATCCCACAGTTGTGCAGATTTGCTGACACAGTCACTTAAGTAATTTTCACGAGCCTCAGACATGAGCTCTTTCTTTGCATCTTCTGGCAGTTTTATAGTAACCTTGAGGAGCTTTTCTTCTTCTGCTTTCTGAATAAGCAGCCATTGTGCATCAACAAACTTGTTTAATGGTTTGTCACGCAGCCACTTAACACCTGATAGTTGATGATAGGGATCTATGATTAAATTTCCTTCAGCAGTCGGGCATGTTGAGACCACAGCTTTATTCATGAAGATGCTACGGATATGCTTTCTTACAATAGGCTCACACCCAATCTCAACTGCCGCCTGGTAAGATGATAAAGGTAGAACGGTTCATATCAGTGAGATGAGATGAACCTAACTAAGTGTGGTTTCTACCCTGAGGCCTTGTTCGGTTAATCCCTCCCACAAGGGGATTGAGGGGATTTATTCCACCCCCTCAATCCCCTCAAATCCCTCCCTCCTGGGGATTAACCGAACAAGGCCTGATAATTTATTAGGGGTAGAGTAGCATTGTGAAATATACTAAGTAGTACCATGTGTCTGGCGCCCCGAAGAACATCTTGTGGTGTTTCAAACATTGCACATGTGAAATTTGCAGCAACCTCTTCAGGAGAATCTTTCCCACTATCAAGTTCTCCTGCTTCCTGAAATATACAAATGTAAATGGATTGCTTGCAATGTCCTAGTAATATTGTTTAAAGAAAGGTAACACAAGGTGTCGGCTTAGTGCACGTACGGGTATCTTCGTCAATGTGAGATGGTGACCTAACTGCTCAGCACTCCGACCAAATTGGTTTGCAACCTGCCATAACCCTGCCTTGTGACAAATACTGTACAATGATTTCCTTTTTGGCCGCTTAAATTGTCCTTCTTCTTCAACTTCTCCAGGAGGGAAATGCAGATTGAACTTTGCATCAACATCCTCCACCTCTTTCTCAGATTTTGCATCCTTCAGTGCTTCAATAATGGAGCTATAAAGCTGACGGTTTAATGCCTGGCGTGTGACATCATCTATTCTTCGATTCTCATCATCAAATCTTTTATCATAGTACATCTCCAAAGCAACCTTGCGCTTCTGAAGAAGCAGCCACTTTTTGTCCAATGTCTGAACAGCCCAAAGCATCTAAAAGGAAGACATCAATGGAGTCAATAACTGAATAACATTGATAAATTGGCTCTGAGGAACAACATATGCATAGTGATAGGTCACCTTGTGCCACATCATCTTGCGTTGATCTTCTTCATCACTATGTTCTTCATTGGTCTGTTCATTGGCATCAAGATCTTTTAACAGACTCGGGCAATTCTCCTTCCTATACATAGCAATGAAGGGAATCTGGCAGGTAATAGAAGTTATGTAAGAAAAATAAGCATAAAAGAAACATGCACAGAGCTTGTCTGCATTTACTTACTTCAAATTTGTTGACATGTAACATGGTCAATACACTTGCAATGTCCTTCTGGTCAATGTCCTTGTTCACATGCTCATTGTTAAAGAATGACAGAAACCCATCACCCGTCAGTTGGCTATGTATCCATACACTTTCTTCCTCTATCATTGTGGTGTCCGTTGGAGGATACCCAGTTAGTTCTTCAGACAGCTGGCAAAAGGAGCTACAAATCAGACATGCACGATAACTAAAACAAAAATGCCTAAGAAGAGTGTCAAACTTTTACCTGTATCCTCTCAGGTACATCATTCTCTCTTATTTGTTCATCTTTCGGTGTCATATACTTCTCAGCCAGAATAAATGGCTCAAACTCATCTTCAAGTCTGTTTCCTCTCAACTCACCAGAATTAGCAGCATCCCTCTCAAGCTCTTGCTTTCTCAGTGCTAATAGTTCATCAACATCACCAAATATATCGTGGGCCTCTTGCAAGGCAGATGATGATACCCCTGCAGCCGGTCGGCGTGGTCTTGCTTTACCCTTCTTCCTTCTGCAATTGCAAACAGTACTTGTATGTAACTCTAGCAAACAAGATCCAGTAAAGTTGTATAAAAGAAGTTGGCACAAATGTGAAAAATAAGGCCATACTTTACAACTTGACCATTTGCATCAATTTCATCTTCATCGACAATGAAACCTGCCATTTCATCTTCAGGATCACCATCCTCATCTTCATCTGCCTGCTGATCCTCCTCAACAATGTCCTCCTCAATAGACGCATCTGAGGAAATTGCATTGCAGCAAATAAGAAAATTAGATAAACTACTTCCTGCTGTATCACACAAGCTAAAGAGAAGTATTTTTGGATGCAGCTACCTTGATGGTCGCCAAATAAGGAGTACTGGACTCTTTCCTCAGCAGTACGCCTTTTTCCTGACCCATCATCATCTGAAAAGCCAGAGCGCTCATCCATTTCAGATTCCCTTCCGGCCTTCTTCAAGCGCTTAAATTTGTTTCCCTGCAGTAAATTAGAAGAGCCATAATTCAAAAACATGCTAAAAAAGTTAATGACAGCACCAAAGTATCTTTAAGCATACAGGCTTAGGACGTTGAATGCCAGTGATGTTATTATCCTGAAGCAACTCATAGTCATCCTCATCCAGCATGAACCCTTCTGATTCCCTGTGCACAAATATGTGTTTCAGTAACTTCTAAAGAAGAGAATACGGTATTTGATATTTCTATCTCGTTGAGGGATCAAAAGCAACCTTTTCTTCTTCTTTTTCCTCTTCTTCTTCCGCCTCTCATCATCACTTTCCCTCTCATCCTCCTCCTCCTCTTCCTCATCTGCATCATCTACTATGAAGCCATCCTTCTCATATTCGTCCTGACCCTCGTCTGTACCAAAGCAGTTACATCCCATTACCAAAGCTAACTCGAGTATCACAGGGGATTCAAACATATAAAAGAATTTTAAAAAACTAAATTGCCTTGTCAGTTGTCACATGAATGCACATGAACAATTATAACCCACTACTCGGGCATACAAATAATATATTGAAATAGGGCCATTTCTATAAACTCAATGAAATTGGTAGAACGTGTCATAACATTCAATACACGAAAAGGAGTTATCCAAATCAGACAGAAAAAAAAACAACTAAGCATAGCACGATATAAACATCCGAATCGGTGGTGTTCACAGATGGGGGGAGGAAACTAGCGCAATTTGGAAAAGAAACGTAGAAAAAATCTCTAACCTTCTTCGTCCTCCTCGTCATCATCATCGTCCCGATCCATATTGTCCCTTCCTCTCCGCGAAGGCCGCGGATTCTCCTCCTCCTCTTCCTCCTCGATTTCATCTGACAGAGTTCGAACAGACGAACAATCTCTCCATCAGCAAACGCGCACGAAACCCCTCCGCTGGAATAACCAATCAGCACGAAACCGCACAAAACAGGCGAAGAAACCGCGTACCTTCCTCGTCGGAGAGCACCGTGCGACCACCCATTGCAGTCGAGGCGGCGCAAACCCTAGAACGCGAGAGCGGTTATGCCGAGAGAGCCTCACAAGGGGGGAGGTGGAATCCCCTCCTTACATAGCCATAGAGGGACACCAGGAGCCGCACGATTGCTCCACGCGTGCGGCGGCGAAATCTAGGGTTTCCGCGGGACGATACCGCCGGGCCCGACCCGACGCCGCCGGCGACGACGACGGGAGGGAGGGAGGGAGCGATGCGGAGCGCCCCGGCACTCCCCCTCAGCCGCCTCTACCCGCCGGCGAGGAGGCGAATCCGGCAGCCGGAGAGCCCGCGAACCCTAGGCTGGAACGGCGGCACGTTCGAGGCGGTGGGATCGTCGGGAGGTTTGGGGATGGCGGCGAGGAGTGTGCAGTGGGAACGGGAAGGGGATTTGTTAAGTAAGGAGAGATTTTGGTGGTTTCTTTCGTTTAGGCCCCTGCAATTGTTGCATATTTTAGTGTTAGAAGAAGTTTCCCTTTTAAATGGTATGCAATCAAGGGTCAGTATAACATTTCGCGTTCCACCAAGGAGGAATATATAGTTTTTGAAAATTGTATGCCGATTTCTAAGAAAAATGATATTAGAGCATTTAACTGTGGGCTTAAGCCAGTAAGTTTTAGCCTAAACAAAGATGATCACACTGTAGATAATAAAGTTGAACTTAAAGTACTTAAAAAACGAAAAGTTGTATTTAAAATACTGTAGATAATAAAGTAAGTCACCAATAAAATAAATAATAATTTCAAAAAACTTTGAATAAGACGAGTGGTCAAACGTTACAAGCAAAAACTCAAAATCCCTTATATTATGGGACGGAGGGAGTAGTAATTTATTTTTTTAGGGTTTAGACACTGATTGTGACCGCACAAACATCAGGTGAAGTGTGCCTGCAGAATTTAATGGAATGATGACTAGATAAATGAATTGCGATAAATATTCAATCGTACAAATCAACAAATGTTTTTTTTTCATAACGACCGCACCATACAGTGTGAATTTTTATATCAATAGACAGAGAAAAATACAGGATTACAATCATGGATATTATAAAAAAATAAACACAACACCGTTGCCAGCTAGTAATTCCTCACACAACCGTGAAGAAGGTACAGCACGCATCCATGAAAAAAAATCACTAGTTATTCCTCTTTTCCTCCTCTTATCTTCTAAGAGTAAGTTCAATAGTATAGCCAACTACTGGCTCCAATTCATTTATAGCCAATCTAATAGCTTATTCATACAATAGTTATATGCTACACTATTAATACCTAGTCCCACCTGTCATAGACACACTGCGTCTTGGAGTCCGTACTACAGCTAGCTATAAATCTGTAGCCCGCTGCTCTTCTCTCTCCTGATTTATCTCCTTAAAATATGTTTGCAGCTGGCTTATAGCATGTTATTGTACCTGCTCTAAGGCCCTCTTTGTTTAGGCTTTAAGCTTACTGGCTTAGACTTTTAAGTCAACTTGTTAGCTTATATGATGTATAAACCGGTGGATTTAATGTCCTAAGTTTAGTAGTGAAGTCATACATCAACCTCACATAAGCCAAAAAAGTTTCTCCAACCTAGCTTTTGGCTTAATAGTATTAGAGTGGCTTATGGCTTCAAAAAAATCAAACAAATAAGTTGCTTGTTTGTTTAGACTTAGATTTTTTGGCTTATAAGTTAGCTTATAAGCCTAAACAAATAAGGCCTAATTATTGTCCCGATCATTCGGTTTCAGCTAGTAGTTCGACCCTTCATGGATTGGCAAAACAACTAATACTCCCTCCGTCTCATAATATAGCTACCTATGACCGGATAAGATACTTCACAGTACACTTCTATGAAGTGTCTCGTCCGGTACTAAATTGCTATATTATGGGACGAATGGAGATGTATTAAGTCTTTCGATCTGCAATTGTTGTTATGATTGATTTTAGTTTATTTAAACAAAGGTCAGAACAAAAACCATTATAAAAAAGTCAGAAACTTAGTGATTATAAACTTAGTGATAATGATTGTCATTCGCTCACAAACATAGGTTATGTGTAAGTTGTAGCCAGAAAACGATTTAGTTGTTGCGGAGGGAGTATCTTGCGCCAGGATAACAACAGTGTGCATGTAAAGATGACCTTAAAAAATAAAGTAGTATTTGTGTTGTTGCTTTATGCATTAGAAGATGAGAAAATGAATAATGTTGCTATGATTCACCTTAAGCTTAAAACTAAACCATAAGAAAAGAAAATCATTTTGTACCTTTGTAGTATGCATGTGGGTCTTTAAATCTTGTACATCAAAGGGTGAATAGTTTTTTTTTTCATGTGGATCCTACCTTAAAGTCAAGAGGAGACCATAACCATTGTAGCTTTACTATTAGAAAAATGTCAGTTACTTCCACCTTGTAGTCTCTATGCATCTTAGACATTGCGGATGCTCTCAGTACGTGATTGATGCCATCACACATTAGTTGGTTTAGGACAACATCATCCAGTATTTTTCGAGGAACATATCAGCCCTGTTATAATCTGTCTTCAAGAGACCTTCCGGGGGAGTACCGTGAGAAGAGAGTACTGTGAGAGAGTGAGAAGATGAACATTTGGTTCAAAACTATGAGCTGAATTGGTGATGGTATGGAGCAACTGCACAGTGGGGCAGCAGGGTTGTTAGTACAGTACAGTACTTGTTAAGCAGATATAAGAATCATTTGGCGGCAGTTAAACACCTTGATTACACCAGCAAAAATCATTTTTATTATTCGCTAATCTTATCATTAGGAATCGGATTGTACAACACAACACAGAACCACTGAGGCATTGACACGATGAGATAGTAGTACAAGATTACTACTACACAAATCAAAAGCTACCGTTATCAAAGTAGGAGTACAGTGCCTAACGGAGAAGCGAAGTCGCACCAAGTCAAAACCGTCGCTCACTTGAGCACTTCACTGGTCTACTACCCCAAGCTGTTGTGAAATCCCGTCATTGCCCTCCTCAGCTGTTGCTTCGTGCTCCTCCTCGTCGTCGTCGTCGCCGGCGGCGGCGGCGGGGGGCTCCTCCTTCGCCGGCGCATCCATCGGGGGAGGCGGAGGCTTGAGCTGGAAGGCGACGAGGAGGTCGTCGGCGGGGTTGAAGGACCCGAATTTGGGCGTCGTCTCCACCCCGGAGAAGCTGCGCGCGTGGAACGAGAACGACGACCCCCCGTCCGCCGCAGGCCCGCCCGCGCCGCCGCCGCCGCCGTCGCCGTTCTCTTCGGCCGCGTCCGCCGCGGCGCGTCGCACGCCCTCGAGCGCCGCCACGCACGCGCGCCGCCGCTTCGGCTCGGGCATCTCGTTCCCCTCCTCCTCCGCCTCCGCCCCCTCGCCATCCTCCGCCGCAGCGCGCTTCTCGGCCTGCGCCCGCGCCTCCGCCACAGGCACCGCCTCCTCCTCCGCCGCCGACGTCGCCATTCCCAAGGATCCGATCGGGCCCTCTCCCCCGCGGATCGGGGGGGCTATAGCTTCCAAGAGAGCTCGGAGATTTTTTTCCCCCTCTTTCCCTCCGATCTGTGCCTCGCTTTGCTTGCTCCTAGTGGGGGCCAACACACAACACAAGCTCACATGGCCGTCTCTTCGTCCCTCGTGGTCGTGGCTCACGACGTCACGTCACGAGCTCGCCGAGTAGTAGTAGTAGTCGCCGTGCGTGCGCAGCCGCGCGCTACCGGGGTGGGGGTGTTGGTTGCGTCGCGTTGCCGTCAACACCCGCACGGCCGCGCCGCAAGAAGGAATGAAGGATGGTGCCGCGCGCACTGGTGCCCCTGCCTCTTGGGCTGTGTTTAGTTGGATCCAAATTTTGGATTTTGGTTGAAATTGGACATGATGTGACTAGTTGTGTGTATGACAGGTTGATGTGATGGAAAAGGACTGAAGTTTAGATCTAAACTTTGGATCTAAACACAGCCTGGTTAATATTTTCCGGAAGAGCACTTTAGTCTGTGTTTACCGTGTCATATCGGATATACGGACACATATTTAAAGTATTAAACGCAGTCTAATAATAAAAACAATTAATAATAAAATAAATTACAGAATCCGTCAGTAAACCACAAAACGAATTTATTAAGTCTAATTAATCCATTATTAGCAAATATTTACTGTAGCACCACGATGTTAAATAATGGAGCAATTAGGCTTGAAAGATTTGTCTCGCAAATTAGTCGCAATATGTACAATTAGTTATTTTTTAAGCCTATATTTAATAATACTTCATGCATGTTGTCGACGTTTGATATCGCGACTATGGTATTTGAATGGTATGAAGATCGTTGGTGGATAGTATGGGGATCGTTGGTACCAGGGTATATGTGAGATTGAGGTAAAAAAGATGGAGACAGTGATTTTTATACAGGTTTGGGCCCCTTATCTTACAGATAATAGTCCTACATCCTGTTTATATGGGATTTATATAGAAAACCACGAAGTACAACAATTGGGATAACTTATCTAATCGTCGTCGACTTAGCGGCTAGATAACCAACTCATAATCGACGACAGGGTAGCCTTCCTCCTCGAGTATGAACCCGTCGAGATCAGAGATGGCACTAGATCCCTCTTGCCGGCTTCCGTAGACATCGGATGGGGTATGGCTAGGCTAATCTCTGATGTCAAGATCTGGCAACGTGTGTTGGCTTGTGGCTTTGTGGCGTCTATGGTGGGTGTCCCCTCTCTCCTCCTAGGGGGTTTGTATTTCTACCCATAGATAACCCCTTATTTAAGTAGAACTAGAGAGATAAATATGGATACAATCCGAGTAGTCCTTGTCGTTTCCATATAGAACTCTACTCATTCTTCCTTATCCGGAACTCCTTATATATACGAGATTTGTTTTCGTATAAGACATGATATGTGGTGGGCCCTGCCGAGCTTAGTTGATTACTATTAGGTATGTGGTATCCATAACCTAGACACATATGTTCGAACGACACATATGTTCTAACGTTCGATGTGACAGGATGAAAATTTTTATGATGGGATCTAAACAGGGCCTTATTCAATTCCACTCTTATTTTAGGTAAGATACATATTTTATCTTAGCCTTTATTAATATGTTTTTTCAATCTACTCGCTCCATTCCAAAATAAATAAACCTAATATGAAATGCGAGAGACAGATCCAGATTTACCTAATAAAGATTGAGGCAGGTTCATATTTATTTATTCTAAGATAGAGAATGTACTAAACGGTGTATTTTGTGAAAAACATTCGATGGTTACCTCACCGGCCAAGTTTGACGCATTGGTTTGGCGGCTAGAAAAGTTTTTATCAAGTTTTCTTCGAAATCAATTTTCTATCGTATGTTATATTTTCCTCTACCATTCGAAAGACTATTTTTACTTTATTTAAGAGCGGAGCTAACCTACCAAGCTCGCTGAACAAGTTTTTTTTCTCCACCTTTTGCTGGGCCGTATTTAGTGCAATTCTTCAGAATCTAGTGGTCTAGTGGGTATTCTTGGGCCAACTTTTGGATGTACCGGCTTAGCCAGAATGGACTGGACCGTGGGGTTTGTCACTACTTCCGGGCCGGAACAATGAAGCTGTGCACGGCAAGTATGCCTTGAGGTGTTGGATCCATCACAGGTTCTACTTAACTACTTTCGTTCGTAGCATCTTGAGAACTTGAAAATTTCCATCTTTATTCTATGCGAATATGCGATACTGCGAAGCACGCGAGATACGAGACCAATTCAGCACAGCAAAAACCAAAAAGAAAAGTACTAGTGCACGTCATAACCAAGCGACGAGCCGACGATCACTCAGTCTACCACCACTGTTGGTTTGTGCTTGAAAGCTACGCCTGCACTTCCCTGCAAAAGTGGCAGCACAACTATACCATCTCATCAAATTCTCGATCTATTTTGTTTAGTGCCATACCAAAATATCGAAAAATATCGATAGTGCTAAAATCTAAAATAAAATTTCACACCATTAATTATGGCAAGATAAAGATGTATTTGACTCGATACCAATGAAAAAGCAAAAACTTTCACTGGAACCTAAAAATACCAAATTGTTCATTAACAATGCCATAATTTGACTTCAAATCAAAACAACTAGGAGCTTGTTCGGATTACTGTCAAAATGAATCTTTCCAAAATTTGGCAATACCAAAATTTTGAAAACTTAGCAGGATTATCAAGTTTTGATAACATAAACTAAATGTGATGTTACCAAAATTCCTTACGCACTATCAAAGTTTAATAACAAACTAAACGCATCAACATATTTAATTTTATTACCATTGAAATGATATCAATTTGAACAAGCTCTATGCTATCTTGCTATAAAGTTGTAACCTACTAAATTCTACAGCTATGCATGCAAATATGACACATCATCATCCACAAACGACTATTATATCTTAAACATCATGCAAGCATAATATATCATCTATAGTTATATAGATTATTAAAATTTCGAGCTTTAAAATGCAAACATGTTAAATTGTAATCCTACATAATTCATATAATATTTAATTACATCTCTCCATCACTTTTTATAATATTATTTCTATCTTCTCTCATTAAGTCATACCATAATGAATTGTTTATAGCTCTTAAATAATTAATTATTATCCAAATTTCTTTTATTTCTCATAAAAACGCATCACCTTAGTTTGACATTTGATCATTATTGTATATACATCTAAATAATCAAACGTATGTAAGCTTATATCATTTATCTACTTTATATATTATTATCATATTAAACTCACCCAGCAACCATGCCGGGCATCACTTAGGCCCCGTTTAGTTCTCAAATTTTTTTCCCAAAAACATCACATCGAATCTTTGGATACATACATAAAGTATTAATATATAGATAAATAAAAAAACTAATTGCACGGTTGGGGGTAATCGCGAGACGAATCTTTTGAGTCTAATTATCCATGATTAGCCATAAGTGCTACAGTAATCCACATATGCTAATGACGGATTAATTATTTTCTTTAAAGATTCGTCTCGCGGTTTTTAGGCGAGTTATAAAATTATTTTCTTTTATCCGTGTCTGAAAAACCCTTCTAATATATGGTCAAACATTCGATATGACATCTAAAAAATTTATTTTTACTACCTCGGTACCCAATCCCGAGTTCTGTGTGCACCACCTGACGGCAACGGCAACGGCAACCTGTACAGCGCACCGCTAGATGCTTCCTGCACGCTGTAGCTTCCGGCACCACCAGTCCACCACATGGCATTACCATTTCAGGAAGCGTGCGCGTCGTTGTGCCTGTCCGGACACCAGCGACACTTTCAGGTTCCTTTCCCAACTTGCCAATCGACCAAAGCAACGTGTAGGGTGTTTTTGCAAGACCAAGTTCCCAACACCCCCTCTCGTTTTCTGCGTACACACTTTTCAAACTGCTAAATGGTACGTTTTTTTAAAAAAGTTTCTATACAAAAATTGTTTAAAAAAATCATATTGATCTATTTTTAAAAAAACTTTAGCTAATACTTAATTAATCACGTGTTAATGAACCGCTCCGTTTTCTGTGTATGAGAGATGGGTTCCCAACACTCACCTCCAAACACAGCCAAATTTGTCTTCTTCGGGAGAGTAAAACCACGAGCAAATGATTACCCCTCCCCAGCTCTCGGCCTTCACCAAAAACGAAGGGATTATGACACGAAATTAACAAAAAAGAAAGTTTCAGATTATCAGCTGGAACAAGCACGGGCTAGAGGTTGCTGTTACCTCCGTCTTAAAATAAAATTTTCCCATATATATCCAATAAAAAAACTAAAATACAACTATTTTATCAAACCTCAATACAATTTTTTTTATTTTATCTATTCTAATACAATTACTTATGACTTTTACAAAACTCTAATTCAATAATTACTTTAAAAACAAACTTATTTTTTAAATAAAGAAGAAGCTAAAAGTAAATTTATTATGGGACAGAGGAATGCTAACCATGACGTTTGACCAAAGTTTTCTTCAATTTTTCAGAAATGGTTATGTCAAAATATCGAAGAAATTATTTTTCTTAAAATAAGCATTGAAACTCTTTTTTTTTCTTGAAACACGCCCATCAAAGTGACGGCTGCTCCAAAGCGCAGGATGTGATTAGCTGAAAAGAAAAGCAAAACGCACAATAAGCTAATGCTAACAACCGCACCACGTGTTCGGCCCGGATCTCCCCATGTCCCGTCACCACGGCCCATCAGGGGCCCCCAAATCTCTCTCCACCCTTTCAGCGCGCCACGTGTCCCACAAACCAAACACTTGCCCCGCCACGTTCCCCCGAGATATTTCCACCGGGGTGGGCCCCACCGCTTCTCGCCGGAGTCCACGTGTCGGCCTCGCCGGCACCGGACCACCACCGGAAGAAGGGATCAAAGAAATCCGGAACGGATTTAAATCCGAGACGACGGAAATCACCCCGATGCCCGACACGTGTCCCCAAGAAACGAGCCACGTGGCGCGCTACCGCACCGCGCGGGGGACACGTGTCCTCCCGCTCCGTCGTCGAAGGCGGTTTCGGTTTTACAGAAGCGTCAAGCAAAGCCCCGCGTGACGCAACACGGATTGGACTTCGCAAAAATGAGAAGATATTTTTGTCCAGTGTACTCGCCTCTGCAACAGCGGCGGCGGCGAGCGTGTGATTCCTCCTAGGCAGGCAGGATTAAGCGAGTGATTAGCGAGGTGTTTAGCGTGTAATCGCGGGTTTAGTCGCTTCGGCGAGCCGCTAATTATTGGGGGTTAACGAGGAGTGGTCCATTTGTCGCGTGGTGGAGGGCGCGGTCGGGATCGGGTGCGTCCGGTCCGGGCCGACCTGACACCGCACGAGGATATAACCGGTTCGTCTTTGGATAGGAGTAAGGCGACCGTGTCGTGGCGAGGCAGTCGCCGACGAGAGCGAGAGAGCGTGTCACGGCGGCGGCGCACGCGTATGAGTATGAGGCGGTTGGGCAGCGGCAATGCCGGCGGCGGCGCGGCAGTGGCCGGAGAGTGGGATGGTGGTGGCATTGCGGGGAGGATGAGGGGGGTGAACGCGGGGATCATGGACGAGAAGGTGCTGGAGCTGGTGTTCCGGGCGCTGAACTGGGACCCGAGGGAGCTGTGCGTGGTGGCGAGGGTGAGCCGGCGGCTGCGGGCGGTGGCGGAGCGGGTGCTGTGGCGGGAGCTCTGCGTGTCGAGGGCGCCGCGGATGGTGTCGGCGCTGTCGGGCCCGACCGCGGCGGTGGCGGCGGCGGCGGGGCGCATCGGGGGAGGCTGGCCGGCGATGGCGAAGCTGCTCTTCTTCTGCTGCGGCGCGGCGGGCGCCGCCGTGCCGGGCCACTTCGCGCCCGTGTCGCGGTTCTCCAAGACGTCGGGCCGGAGCTTCCTGTCGCGGCGGTGCGCGGGGGACCTGCTGTTCGTGTCGGACCCGTGCGAGCACGCCGCCGGCGCCGCGTCCGACGACGACGTCGTGGGCGCGTACCGCGGCGTGTACCGCGGGTTCATGCGGTCGCGGACGCGCGCCTTCCTCGTCGGCCACCGCGCCCCGCTGGAGCCGCGCGTCCGCTGCCCCTACTGCGGCGCCCGCGTGTGGAGCATGACCGCCGCGGGGCTCGCGCCGCGCAGCGCGTGCCGCTGGCTCGGCGCCAACGAGGGCCGTCTCGAGTACTTCGTCTGCGTCAGCGGCCACCTCCACGGCAGCTGCTGGCTCGCCCGCCTCTCCTCCTCCTCCTCCTCCAGCGACGGCGAGCGCAGCGCCGACTCCGACTCCAACCACAGCGACGACGAGACATTCGCCGCCGCCGACGTGAGCCTCCCACTTCCTCCAGCCGGCCGCGTGCCAGCCCGGCGCCTCCGAGGCAGGCCCGCCATGTGAAGCAATACCGGTAGTTTTTTTTTTTACCTCCATTTTTTCACTGTTTACGCAGCTCAGGTCAGCTGTTTTTACCGGATCAGAAGCAGATCAGGAGGATTGCACTGTGCTTTGCGCCTTTTGTGAATTGTGCCTTTCACTTCACATGTAGTTGTACGTTGATTAGTTCCTAATCGCGTAGTGGGCGCGGCGTGCGAGAGCATATGGCATCGCTCCACTTTTGCTCGGGACGATCTGATTCCCGCGTGATGTTTGGCACGGCGCATTTCAGATGACGAGGTGCCTGCACAATACTTGCAATTCGGGATGAGATCCTTCTCGATCGAGCGGTTTCTGACTGGCAGCTGCATAGCATAGATGTATTTTTCTCTGATGTATTGTGTACAGTTGTGTTAACATTGCTCGAGTCAGCACTGCACAGCAATTTAGCTCGAGATTTGTCTGTTAGATCACGGTAATGGATTACTAGGGAGTTATAAACAGGGAGAGTCATTTGTATGTTAGATACTGCTCCCTGTAAGTCGCAGAGGGGTAAAACGACTTGAATCCTGTAACAGAGGTAGAAGTACTACTCCATTGCAGTAGTACATGATGATGATACAGTACTAAAGTAGTTGTTGATTTGTACAGTACAATGCTGTACAGACAACAGACAAGAGGTTGCATAGGCGCCCGACCATCTAACATGTCTCTTAACAACGAACACCACTGCCAATTATGGCTGACTGGAAATGATATGTGCTGCTACTACACCAAGGCATGCAGAAAAGATGGGTCAAGGCTATCTCACTCGTTAGCATGAGACAAGAATTGGCTCACTCGTTAGCATGAGACAAGAATTTGAGTCGCACAACAATTTCTACAGTACAAGTAGTTCACTGACACTGAGTGAATAAACACATCGGTCTCATTAGCATGAGAAGAATTTGAGTCGCACAGCAATTTCAACAGTACAAGTAGTTCACTGACACTGAGTGAATACACATCGGTCGTTTGCCTTATGTTTGAAGGGATTAGTTTGACTACTTGACTGTAAATGATTAGCATTACTACTACACTGAACAATGCTCTAGGGTCAAGTCTCGCTCATCTCATCAGCATGTAACAAGGATTTCACTCCTGTAACAATTTAACAGTAAAAAAACATAGTAGTACTATACTTCACAGGATTTGCCTTGTGTTCGAAGGGATAGAGCATAGACTAGCCCAAACTAGCCTCACTGCACATGCCATTCCATATGGTCCCGTTCACAAGCATGACAAAAATCGCGGCACTTGCGTAGCGTCCAAACAAGAATACAAGAGATTTGCTGCTAAACAATCTCGTGTGCTTCGGAAACAACAAACAAGGATCAAACAAGAGGCCAGCAATTCACCGTTCCTTCTCGCTGTCTGAAGCAACCCAATTATCAATGGTCGTGTTGCATCAGGTAACCATGTTTAACAAGATACAACTCCTAAACTAAGGAATTAACAACCAAGTAAACGACATACAGATCCCCATGGCTGTATATACAAGCATTGAGTGAGCAACAACACCCAAACATTCTTGCGTAGTTGATGCACCAAATCAAGGTCAATGTCCAGGACGAACACGTGCCAGGATCCCAGCATTCTTGAAAGTCTCAGCCTTAACACATTTGATTGCTATTCTAAACCAAACCAAAATTTATCAATATGTCGACTTCAGTGAGCTTCCCTCCAGTACGAACAAGATCAAACAACTGAAATTTCATACTACGACTTCATTTATGAAGACAAGAGAACCCATCATCACACCTAATTGCTGCTATGATTGATAGCTAAGAAGTGATTGAAACCATTGCACAGCACACAATCAATGCAACTAAGCTTAATATGTCCACCAACCTAGCTATGTTGGTGGATCAAATCTACTAAAAGGTACAAAAATGTACTACTATCATTATTCCAAAGCTATTGAGGTGGTTCTGAATGACAATTAATCAGTGAAATTATTCATATATAAAGAGCAAAACAGCTTATACAGCTGATTCAGCGCTCAATTGAACAGGCATATGCCAATGCAACCCTATTTTTCCAATGCTATGGTTCTGAATTTCAGTACAACGCAAGTGATGCTGAAGACTAATCAATAAGACCACCAATCATCTAGTGAAAAACAGAATTATGTGTGTGTTCACTACTCAGTACAGTGCACTATGAAAGCACTAACAGCATACAAGTTACTAACAAAAAGCGCCATCTATGAAATGACCAAGAAACAGTTGACGGATGGATGCATCAAGTTGATAAACCATTCAAATTGAAAAGGTAGAAATACACAGCAGTAGATTATAATATTACAGTAAGCTCATTATATATAGAAGATAACCACCAAAATACCAATATGTAGAAGTACATTTTTAGTACCTAGGCTACTAGTAGAACAAATAAATTTTAGGCAATGAGCGAGAGAGGCAACGAGGCTGTCTTTCTCTGGAACAAAAATAGCTGAATAAATAACAGGGTAACATGAAAGTTTACTCTAGTCCTCCAGAAAGTAGGTGCAAGTGCAAGTATTTTCCTAAACCAATAAATTCCCTTGATTTGCCCTCCAGATCCAACTAAAGTTAAATAAGTGAAAGAACAAACTGGTGTCCACCTCCTTGAAAGCAACCGTAGACCAACCAAACTACAGTCTTTTGCACTTTGCACCAGATACCCTGCACAACATCCAACATAATTAGAACAAAGGGATACATACCAAGGAAGTGAACAACATTCAAGAGTACTTTAGCAATGCCTCACGCAACATTACATAGGGCCCAAGCTTTCTTAGTTGCAACTAAGTGGATATAGTGATTATATAGACTACAAAGGCTGTTGCAACAAAGCATTTCAGATAGTATATGTTTACACTTCTCTAGTACTCCAGTAAACATATGTAGCATCTCAGTAATAAATAAAAAAATACAGGTGTGTAAACTATAAAAGATCGCACATTTTTCCATCTATTAAATGTAAAAGATCACATTTTACTCCATAATTTATTGCTCTCCTACAACGGATCAAGGTAAAGAACAAACACATTGAGAGTGCAACCAAAAGAGATAACACAGCCGGATTTAGAACCAACCAATTTGTGTGTGCCAGGATCAGATCTGGTGGTGGCTCTATGCCTGGTTATCGCTCTTGCGATCACTGTGCCCATCGCGCTCCTGCAACAGCGAGCCAGCCTCCTCATCAGCCTGGCTGATCTTCTTCTGCGCCTCCTTCGCCTTGAGCGCCTGCAGCTTGACGTGGTTGTAGTATGCCACCCCCAAGAAGGCGATCCCGTAGCCGAACAGGTTGATCGGCGTGACCGTGTCCCGGATCACGGACCACGAGAAGGCGATCAGCAGCCAGTCCTTGACCACCCCGGCGACGTTCATGGTGAGCGCGGAGGTCTTGCCGACGAGCAAGAACACCGCCAGATTCAGCGCGAAGGCGCAGAGCGAGTTGGTCCCGAACACGAAGAAGTCCGGGCGGAACGTGCCGACGGCGCGCAGCCTGGGCAGCTCGACGAACACCCACGGCACGAGCAGGAAGCCGAGGCAGCACGGCGCGACGTAGTACAGAGAGGTGATTGGGTTGAGCGAGATGCCCTTGGAGGTGAGCAGGATCTGGATGAGCACGAGCCGCGTGGCCTCGAACGCCACCGCGGCGAGCTGCAGCGCGACACCCCGAACATCGAAGCGCGCCTCGCCGTATGCGGCGATGGCGACGCCGAACGAGATGGAGAGCATGTTGAGCATGGAGGACGACCTGAAGGTCTCCTTCTTGAAGAGCACCCCGATGGAGTACACGGCGACGGGCATGAGCGCCTTGAGCATCTGGATGAAGGACACGGAGAGGTAGATGTAGGCCGAGTTGGAGAACCACAGCGACATGGCGTAGAGCGCGCCGATGGGAACAACGGAGGAGGTGTAGAGCTGCGGGGTCATGGCGGGCGACGAGGGCGGCTCGACGACGCGGAGGAGGCGGACGAGGGCGACGGCGAGGGAGGAGCAGAAGGCCATGTGGACCATGGTGAGGGAGATCGGGAAGGGCCAGTTGTACATCTTGGGGTCGAGGATGTACTTGTTGTAGACGATGACGGCGAAGGAGAGGAAGATCCAGACGCCGACGTAGCAGTAGGAGAGGAGCACCTTGCGGAGCACCGACTCCGACATGCCGCCGGCGCCCCCGCCGCCGGCCATGGCTGGCGCCTCCCCGGCGATGGATCTGGATCGGCGAGGGGGTGGGAGGAGGTGGAGGAGGAGGAGGCGGAGGCGGATCTGATGATTTTGGGGGGGGAGGAGGAGGTGGGGAAGGGGTGGGGGGGTTTAGGTGAAGGAGGGGGAGCTTGGACTGGTCGCGTTGGCCACGTGGAAAATCGACTGGCTTTGGTTGGGGATTTTTTTTATTTAATTTGGGCTTGACGGGACGCTTTGACTTGTCTTTTGTTCTTTCTTTTTTGTATTTTTTTTTATGAATCTCTTTTAACTTCTTGTTGTGCTAGCAAATTGAGCTGTTATCTAGGAGTATATCGAGATACGAACTGTTATTTGCAGTGATTTATATGAAGGATTTTGATTTTACTAGCTATGTGGGATCGATCCACTTTGTGAGGTCCAAATATCAGGCAGACTCATCATCACCATCACCAGAAACGTTAAAAGGAGTAAGGAGTAAAGAAGTTATACTTTTTTTAAGGGTAAAGCCATACTATATTTTTGTGCAATATGGCGTGTATATTAGGGCACCCACAATGGTTATCTATAGGTTCTCTACAAGAGATCCATGTCAACATATTTTTCTACTTGGAAGAGATTAAATGAAGAGATGGAGCAAAACTATCTACTAACCTGGAGATAGTCTATAGAGAAAAACGATGCAATGAATTAGAGAGCTATAGATACCCATGTAGACATACCATTGAAGTGATTTACTATTAATCTAGTCTATTGCTGAGATGTATAAAACAGATAGCACCTTACTTTACCATTGCGGGTGCTCTTATCATTTGAAGAAAGAATATTAATTGCAAAAGGTATTGCCTGCATATGGTAGTTTTTTTTTTGGGAAAGATTTGTATGCAAGTCTTTGAGAAGGCTGAATGGATCTTAATTAAGAACTTCGTTTTAATAATAGGATTTTGTATATGATTGTTGTAGTAAATTTACATGAAGCACTTTAATTCTCACAGGAATAGCAATATTTATCTGCGTTGTAAACTTGGCATTGTACATGCAGGATGACTTTTGCATGTACTGTTGCACATGAACAGCTCATAATAGGTTATAAATAAATATGTGCTAAGTACTAACCAATAAGCATGCTTAGGCCGCAGCATGCAGACAAGCTGGGTTGGTGGTGCCAAATTGTTCCCAACAGATCATCAGAAAAATTGGCAACAATCCAAGTGGTACAAAATAATTTCCTACTTTGGTTAAACCAGCAGAATTCGGTTGTTGGTCAAGCCCTCAAGAAAAATACCACATAGTCAATTTGAATATATCTTACCATTTTTGTTTGATGGCATACTGTGTTATATATGCACATGCCTATTTCCAAAGAAAAATGCTTCTTAAAAAAGCAGTTCGTTTTGCCTCATCCCTGAGTTTGTTAAAAACATTGTTATTTTTGTGCTTCAACCATAATATTAGATAGTAGTATTAATTAGATACAGTTAATTTGCCAATGTAGTCAATGCTGATAATTAAACATGCACTTTGTAAAACCACGCAGTTTCGTGTTTTGGTTAAGAACTTAATATAAGAACGTTTGCAAGCATCACTTCAGCTTAAAAATGACTCCTCTCTCTTAACATTACGGCATTTTCCGCATATGCCAATTTCTGTTAAGCTATATATATCATAGCATTATGCTGTGAAATCAGAAGCCCTTCGAAAATAAATGGGACAGTCTTAAGGAAGAAAAGTAGAGTGGTAGGCAAGTAATCGTTTTTCCATTTCTATGTAACGGGAGAGATAAGAGGAACTGACATGTTAGGTTTGTTCTTAAAAAAAAGACATGTAGGTTAATTACGCAGGGCTAAAACTGAGTTGAGTAACGCATAGGAGTACTAATATTTTTACATTCATATGAACATCAAGTAATGTGAAAACCATTATGGGTCGATAAATAAAGCGCTTTTGGTATGGTTTTATTCGTATTTTTCAGGAGAATCTTATGTTGTAGAGTTCCAAAAAGTTCGACGTTGAGGAAGACTGAACAAGTACTGCTACCATGTCTGAAGATTTCAACACTACGAATCTACGATTCTTTCACCACCTGCAACTGCAAGGTCAATCTTACAAATACTTACTTATGCATAGTAATTCGTGACGAAGTCAAAATAACATCAGTTTTGAGAACTCTCAGGAAGCAGCAGTCGATGCACAACGAATCGGTCAGTCAGTCGGTGGATCTATAGTTATATATTTAAGTGTCAATTCTGCTGTGATTAACTGTAGAACATGTCAAAGGTTCAGAAACGCAAAGCCTTGGTTGTATTAGGCCACTTGATTACTTCAATGTTATTGACACACTGCTCTATCAATAATTGGAGCAAAAAAAGAAAAATATTCCCATGTACTCTACTGCACTGTTAGGCCTAACTCTGTCAAGTGTCAAACCAATGAAGTGCCAACCAACTTTCTGGTCTACAGCTTGGTTTCATCTACCTCTCTAATAAAACTCTCTTTCATGCGATCAAGCACTAAGCAAGTATAAGCAGCAAGGACAACTCTTTCTTTGTCAGGAGAACGACCGAAATGAGACCTGCATCAATGATCAACAACACTCTGATCGATAAACAAAATTAATTGTTAGCTTCTATAATGCAGCTTAATTTTGTACTAACCCCGTTGATAATTGCCAAGCTATTGCTAAGATAGCCGCCGAGAGAAAAGACAAATTATCCCCCCGGGGGGGGGGGGGGGGGGGATGCAGGCACCGACTCGTTTTGGTAGCGGTTCGGCGGATGATCGATCCCTTGCTTGGAGTCGGGGCGGTTTTTGTGGGGTTTCTCCCGGGCCATCCGGGGCAAAAGTGCTGCACTTTGACGCGTTTCCGGGAGAGCCAGCCTAGCTGACACTTTTGACACTGACATGATGGTTTCCGGGGCAGAGCGGTATTGCCATTGCCACACCTGCACCTGCCCATCCAGCAAATGTTAAGATTTCTACAGTGTCTAGAGAGGGACTAGCTACCTCTCCTGTGAATTTTTTTAAGAGCTATATGATGATCGTTCCGATTCTTTCATATGATGCTGATATTCTCTCTCTATAGCTGTGCTTAGATCTAAAGTTTAGATCCAAACTTCAGTCATTTTTCATCACATCAACCTGTCATGCACACACAACTTTTCAGTCACATCATCTTCAATTTCAACAAAAATCCAAACTTTGCGCTGAACTAAACACAGCCTATTTCGTTTTGCGTGGCTTGTGTCGGTCCGTTATTTGTATTACATGATGCCATAAATGTTCTGTTTTTCCATCCCCAATGTAACCATTCAAGGTTTGCCATACCGGTTATGTTGAGTTTTCTTTTTTAAAATGAAAAGCGGTGAACCAATGGTGTGACCTATGATTTTGAGCTAACATGGAACCGTTTAGGATTACCTTACTGGTTTTAAGGGTTACAGCACCGCTTGGTCACTGCATGAACAATGAAAAATCTTTAACAAAATTAATATGATTTTTGAAACCAACTTTGTTTCTGCAAAAAATACACGACAGTTTGAAAAACGCGTACTTGGAAAAAGAGACTGTGGGAGTTAGAAAAGTACAGTGTACTGGAGAACACAGCCTAGCTTCCAAATCTTATCCTTCCGTAATCCGTAGCTCTTCAGAATCCAATGGCTACAAGGAAGAGAGTTTCTCCCCCAAAGGTGAAACGGAAACAAAGTCCAGTCCACGGAAGTGCGTGTCACGCTATAATACCGACTCAAAACGATTCCCTTCTCCCATCCATCCAGCTACACCACGTACACTACCGTGCCCAACTCTGCAACCCAAAGCTGAAGAGGCTGCACCTGCACAAAACCAAGCAAGCTGTGACGGCTCACGAGCGCGTGACCGCGTGAGAGAGAAAAAAGAATTGAATACTAGTAGAAGACAATGGTTCGGTGGGATGGCCAGGTCGAGACCCGGTAGTAGCAGTAGTGGTGCAGTGGCCGGGCGCGCGTGATCGCGACTTCCCCGCGCGATGGGCGATGGCTACGAAGTACGCACGCAGTCGTCGTCGTCGTCGTCCGCCTCTCAACGCGACGCCGGGAGTGGTTGGTGAGTGGGGGTGAGTGGCCGCCGGGCGAGTTGTTGGGTTGTATACTCTCCTAGCCAAGTAGGGACAGCGTCGCGCGCGCCGGATGGAGGAGGAGGAGGAGGAGACACCGACGTGACGACGTCGTCGTGGGCATCCACTTGGCTCCTTGACTCGCTTGATGGATGGGTGAAAGTCCAACCGCAGCACGAGAGATGACGCCATGCGTGCGTTGCTTCTTGTGGGTTTGTTGTTGGTGGTCACTGGGGCCCGTGTTTGGGTCCACGAATCGGCGTTGGAATTTGGCCTAAGCGCTCGCTCGCGGGCTCGAAGCCGTAGGGCGTGGCCTAATAGATTCTTAGTGGGCTGAATGTCCCGCATATAGATTATAGCGGTAAAGAATAAGTCCACTTTGACTCCCTAAATATAGGTATATCTTATTTATATCCCTCAACCACAATGCCAGAGAAATCTTTAACCTCCGAACTATTAAAAAAGATACAAAATAACTCACTAGTTTGTTTTAAAGGTGGTTTTCGCTAACGTGACTCATTGACTTAGTTCAACCAGCTGAATCAGCACGTAGAACCCACATGTCAGCATGCTCTCTTCCTTCTTCTATCCTATTACCTTACTCTTCATTTTTGCCCCTCTCCTTTCCCCACATGAGCACGCATGACGACGAGCAGACCTCCGCCGGTGGAGGCAAGGGATAGTAGCCTCCATCGGTGGTGGCCATGTGGTAGATGCCGAGAGCTCAACGAGTGGGCAACTAGCGTGGCCTTGAGGCAGAGCAGCAACGACACGCCCCTACTATTGCCTCCTTAAGGCCCTCCGGTCGCTGGCGATGGACGAATCTTCACCGCTGTCATGTGAACCAGCCTGCAGGGCCTCACCCCCAAGCTCTCGGCATGGAGGCATTGGGGTGCCTGTCGCCAAGGCCGCCACTGTTGCGAGGAAGTGGCTCGACGGCCAGGGGGTACGAGCACATAGAGGAGAGGGGCGTACCACACCGACCCATGTATACTCCATGATCCCTCCTCCACAACTAATAAAGGCGAGATCTAGAAGCGACGACGATGACGGGTCGATGGAACTGCAGCTCGCCGGCGGCCACCCCACATTTGTGAAGGAGGGGATAGGGCGACCGTTGATGTCGTTTGAACTGTCGCCATGCACTGCCACGCTCCAGAAGGTTTTCCCCCCATCTTGTTCTTCCTCCACGCCGCTATGATTAGCCGTCATGGCCAACACTACCAGCCACTCCTACTCTACCTCTATCAACAAGTTCCCCTCCTCTTGGAATGCATTTTGACATGCTAACTTGGCCATGTTCACCGCCGAAGCTCGCTGTCCAGTCGTCACCCTGCTGCTTCCCTGCCACTGCCCTACTGAGATGTCATAACCGAGAGGAAATATGGAGGAGAGAGGAGGGGGGAGGGAGGAGGAAAAATGTGATGACTGGACTGCCATGTCAGCCAATATCACCTTTGCCTAGTCGTCATTTTATACCCATTTTAACCGTTGGATGGGTTGTTATACCCATTTGTGATCAAAGGATATGAATCAGATTTGAGGGAGGCAAGTAGACTTTTTTTTTAGCAATAATGGTTTATGGGCGTATTGGCGCAGGGCCGCAGGCCCATAGAGGAAGCGGGACTCTCCTTCCCGTCTTCCACGTACCGATAGCGCCCCGCGTCATTACTTCGTCTTCATCGCTGCCTTCCATGCTAAGCATAGAAACGCATCACACTTGCCTCCCGTGGCTGTCGCGATCGCTGATCGCAATCGCATCGTCGCCGAAACGACACGAGCAAATCAACGCGAAGAAGAAAAGAAAAGAAATCCTCCCGCTTCGCTATAAAAATCGCCCGCTTCCCCCGTCGTCCGCTTCAATCTATGCGGGCATCATCTCTCTTCGCGGAATCGGTGTTCACTACATCTGCTGCTGCTGGTCGTCGTCGTTGTCCTCGTCTCGCCGCCGTTCCCGTTACCCTCTTCTTCTCCACCGGTCGCGGCTCGCCGGCGATGGCCGAGGAGGCGCAGCAGCCACGCGGCGTGAAGGTGGGCGGCATCCACGACGCGCCGGCCGGGCGCGAGAACGACCTCACCACCGTCGAGCTCGCCCGGTTCGCCGTCGCCGAGCACAACAGCAAGGCCGTAAGATTTAAGAACACCCGCCCCCCTTTCTTTTTTCCCCTTGTTAATTGCGTGGATCGCCGTGTGGATTGTGGTAAAAATATAAAATACAATAAGGGCATGTTTAGTTTCCACGTAAAAATTTTACAATAAAGTATTAAATATAAAGTATTAAATATAGGCTAAAAGAATAATTAATTATATAGATTGCGATTAATTTATGAGACGAATCTTTTAAGTCTAATTGCTTCATGATTCGTCCATGTGACCGTAAATATCTACTAATGACTGATTAATTAGGCTTAATAAATTCTGGTTTACTGACGTATTTTATAATTAGTTTTTTTTAGTGCCCGAACACCTCATGCGATACCTTACATAATACTTGATGTGATATGCTAAAATTTTACACCCTTAACCTAAGCACCCCCTAAGCTAATTGCAGAACGCGATGTTGGAGTTGGAGAGGGTGGTGAAGGTGAGGCAGCAGGTGGTGGGCGGGTTCATGCACTACCTCACCGTCGAGGTGAAGGAACCCGGCGGCGCCAATAAGCTGTACGAGGCCAAGGTGTGGGAGAGGGCGTGGGAGAACTTCAAGCAGCTCCAGGATTTCAAGCCCCTCGACGACGCCACCGCCTAAACGTAAAACATCAAATTCAAACCTCTCTTTCGTTGATCGTTTCTTGAATGAATCGCCGCGCTTTGTGCTTTGCGAATTGCAAATGGTTCGTCATCATTGGCAGGAGGCTGATAATTTAGGTGCTGATAATTTCAGGTACATAGATCATCGTCCGGCTGCTGAATCATCGGCTTAAAGCAGAGCCATCCAGTGATCCAATTATCTGCTACTAGAACATGTTACTGGTCTTGCTGGAAGGTGTAATATGATGAATAAAACCTGCTGCTTTGCCGGGTCATAATAGACATATCACTTCTGTATTTCCTAGTGCAATACACAACATTTTCGCAGTCTCCTTGTGTTCTTGGCCATGGCCAAGCTTTGCTTGTAAATTGTAATAAGTTTTCACTTTCACTTTTCACAATTTCATCATACCTGTATCACTCTCCTTTGGGAGAAGGAAACAGTCTTGGCTGCAACAGCCCTGCAGCTCACTGTTTCAGTAAAATTCAGCACCCTGAGAAAGTAGGCACAGGGAATACAGCAATGGACAAACAGACAGGAACATTGCAAACTATCATAAACTGGAGATCAGATAGGATGTACAACTGATGAATCTGTCTGTCAACATAGTTGCTAGCTATCGATCGATAAACCTCTGTAACATCCTAAACTACTGCAGCTTCAGCAGGTACACATATTATACAAGATCAGCTACAGAGTTAAGCTGGGCTACAAGGATGTACAATAGACAAAAGTCATGTCTATCTATCAGCTTCTTAACCTAAAAGGGGCAAGTTATCATTCTTCGTTGTCATAATCCTCATCCTCCTCTAACCTATGGTTTGAAGACAAGGCAAACTGAACAGGGTCCATGGCCATCTTGGTCAGCTCAGGCAATTGCCATCCTAGAAAGTCTTTGGTCTTCGCCTCTTCGTTCACCTCCGAAACAAGTGGTCCTGAAGAGGTTGTAACCACACCTGCTGCCGGAGCTGGAGGCTGGACCTCCAGTGGAGCTGAACCCTCATCATCATAGTCAGTAAGCTCTATGTTTAAGTCAATGTTCCTTAGAGAAGCTCTTGCGTTGCTTAATGGGGTAGCCTCCTTTGTTTCAATTGCATCTGTACCATCAACTGAAACATCTACCTTCAGCTGAGAAGGCTTGCTAAATTGACCTGGAGGAAACTCATGGTTCTCCTCAAATTTTTCGTAAGCGGAAATAATCTCCCTCTCAGACACACGCCCACCACGTCGGCCTCTTCCCCGACCCCTCCCACGCCCTCTACCAGTGCTTGTCTGGCTTGCTGCCTCCTGCATGCATACAACCTTATTAGCAAATGAGATGAAAATCAAAGGTGAACGTTTTAATTATGTATGAACGGAATGACTGGAGTAAAGAATTCTTTCAAGTGCTGATACAAATACTAATACTAAGAATGCAAAAGGGACAGAAATTGTGAAATGTGCAACATCCACATAAAGGTAAAGATAATGGAGAAACTAACATTTCTTGTCCGCTTTGATTCCTCTTCACTGTCATCTTCAGCAGTTTTCCTGATGAATTTCAGCACTCATTAAAGCTTGCTGAATAAAAATTGATTTGAACATCAGACACTATTAAATGAAAAGGTTTTTACCTCCTTTTGCCAAGTTTATCATCAACACCAGCATCAGATGTACCCATGTCTGGAACTTTACTGACGACATCCCTCAAGAAATCGTAAACATTATAACTATGTATGCACTGTTTCCTGAAAAAAAGGAGGCAAAATACTGGATTTCATGATCTGACAACAACACATGCTTAAAAATGCATTCTAGGATCAAGGTACAGGAACAGATTATGACAACAGCACACAACTCAGAAACTTGCAAAAGAGCATGACGAGTAGATAGCTTGAAAGAACAACCTATGATTAACAAAAACCTAATGACAAGGAAAAAAAGGTTCTCAGGCATCCTAATAAAGAGTCGTTAGATTCCACCTATAGCTCCATTGACTCAGAAAAAAAAAACATGGAAAGGTCAACAAAACTTACAAATGGGAAGAACTCAGAGTCTTGACCCCTCTTTGCACTGTAATGTCATATGTCCTATTACACAAGTCTTGCAGAAATAATTCCAATGCTTTTGCTGCAACAATGGACAATAATGAAATATATGTAAAGTGAAAGCCTGAAAGATCACATCATACATTAATAAAACAAATCATAATAAGTTAAATCAAATCAGATGGAAACGGAAAATATGCTTGCCAACGTGTCAAAGTGCAGAATATGCTTAGCTATGGATGGTGCCAATCTTATGCCAACGTTAGAGATATATCAATCGAAGAAAACAAAGAAGCATGCTAGCAGAAGAGAAAAGAAAGCACCCAAGTGCAAACAAATAAATTAAATCTATACCTTGCAATGATATTATTTTGCATGGAGCTATTTTATCCTTTTTTACATTCACTCATTTACCTTTTTATCTTCCTCCAGGAAAGCTAAATATGGGCTCACATCCAAATGTTTTTACTTAATCCATACCGTGCCATAAAGCCAAATTGTCTGTAATATATCCACTTGATTCAATGTTCTTTAGTGCTGCACCATGTGGACACCGGTTCTCCCGCTCCTACACTCTTCTCCAAAATCTCCCTTCTCTAGTTCCCCTCACCCTCACCAAATTCAACCCCCATCATATCTGACTGCTCTTCCTATCCAACCAACAATGCCAACCCCATTGCTCCCCAACTTCTGCCACCATGACTCACGCAAAAAAAAAAAAGCGAGGTGGATATCAGGGGAATAAAGAAAACATGGCCATGCAGGCTCATACAGGATCGGTTGATTCTAATATGGCAGAGATGTAGACTAGGTCGCTAGAGATGAATCCAAAATAAAGATGTGGTGGTGATAGTGCACCTGACATGCAATGTGAAATTTGAAGGAGAATGGGCTTACATGATTAAGGATGGTGTGAATGACACAGGGAGTAAGTCTACAGTACATGTACAAATGCACTTGATTTCAATATTACAACAGCCCAAAGTAAGACCTAACATACTTTGGTAGTAAGCCTGCCCCCCTCCCCCTTAATCAACAATAATTGCCAGCTTTGATCTATGTCTTCCCTAATACAATCAATAATGCTTTGCAGGCAGTATGATTTGTAATCTAGAAACCGAAAAGATCGATTATCATTCAGAACATGATTTCCTGTTACATAGACTCCAAGGCTCATATGTTTTGGCCTCTAAAATATAAGCTACTTAACTCTTAGTGGCAGAAAGGAGTGCAGTTTGTAGCGAAAATAATTATGAGCCTCTAAACCGAATACTAATAAGTTACTGAGAGTTAAATAGCTATATAATAAAATAAAAGGAAGATTAAACAGAGTGGAAAACTCACACACTAGAACAGGTACAGCTAAAGCAATCTTGCCAACATCTTCATCTGCTTGCATGATTTTCTTAATCCGAGGCTGCAACACATGACAGACATCAAACAAAATAAGAATATTGTCTGAAAGAGCACTGGTAACAATAAAAGAATCTGATTCATGCAATTTTTATAATTACAACTAACATATACTAAAGAGCTCCGACCATGTCAACCTTAAGGGCATGTTAAATGAGATTATAAGCATTAGCCCTAACATATATAAAGAAATGATTCTGCATGTCCTTGTAAGAGCAAAGGTTAATTAAGAAAGCATCTCCTCAGAATGCATGGCTTTAAGCATATAAGGATTTAGCTACAACTTGTTGTACAGCAGACCCGCAGCAAGTAGTAGAATTCTACATGATACCATTTTGCTACAGTGCAGAGGCCAAAAGGATAAATAGTGCACTTTTATTCTATTTAAGGACTCCATGTGTCTTTAACAAAATGAGGGAACATCCATGCAAGGAAAAATGCACATTACATCAAATATATGGATCTAAGCATCTAATTCGGATCAAGAGGTACATGATTGGTGGTCCGTACTAGCATTAGAACTGTAAAACACACATTGACGTTTCTTTACTATTAATAGTGATGATTAGACTGACGTATTATTGAACAAATCATGATAATGTATTATTTAGTAAAATGTTAATGCATATGGGCAACTAATTTTTCCCATGAAGCTCAGGAGCATAACCTTATTTAATGATCACAGTTGGAGGTGGGACCACATGGAACAGAGTCTATTATTACAAATTATGCAAATAAGCAGCAAATTAAACCAAAATTTCTCACATCAGGCATCCTCATACATGACAAATGTACGAGTACTGGATTTAGGAATCCCCAAATACTCACTGGCTACCTCACATCATAATTACCAATCAGGCTCCAGAATTCTGGATATGTGTATCGAATAAGCCAGTTTCATACAGAATCACACCCACACAAAACCGCAATTTCATTACTTATCTCACTAAAGATACCGTTAAAACAAAATAAAAATATATATCATGCTCGCAAACAAACATAGAAAATAACCGGCAAATTACAACAAAAAATAATTCCTAATATGTGGATGGGCGAAGCCTAACAAGGGAGATAAAATGCAAGACATGCACCATAATTTCATTGCATCAAATTGTTAGCAAAACCTAACCACCGAAAACAAGCGTGCATGCAACAAACACATCTCAGGCAAAAGTGAAAAAAATAAACATACCAATCACGATCGCAGAATCTATATACACGCATGCAGGATCTACACCTGAACAACAATTTCTAATCTGAAAAAAAAAATCCGCGCATATATGAACCATACCGCGGGGAAGCGGGTGTCCAGCTTCTTCCTCATGGCGTCAATCCAGCGCCGGGAACACCACCCAACGGCAAGGACGACCTTCCCCGGCGGGGAACACGGCGGCTGCGAGCTCGATCGATGAGGGGGCCGGAGCGGAGGAGGACATCGAATCGGAGAAGAAAACCACACCACATTAAATAGCGAATCGAATCGATTTGTGATTTGGGGATTAGGGTTTCCGTTACTGGATATTTAACTTTTTTTTCTTTGCGGAAATAAATAAATAAAAAATTTTCCACCCTAATTTGCTCGGCCAGTGACCCTGACCCCGGCCGAATCGGGCAAAGCGAGGCGAGCGAAGCAAACCCAACCCCCACCCAGAGAGAGAGAGAGAGAGAGCCTCTACACGAGACCCGTTCCGTGGACCCGGTGCATAGACCGATCCACCAATGTTGTGGGCCCCACCCAGACGGGTCTACACTACACCGGCTTAATCCCGTGGACCGGGTCCACCGCCGTGTTCTACAGTGACCTCAGCGCGCGGATCTGAAGAGAGAGGAGGAGGGGAAAGGGGGGTGTGGGGCCCACGTTAGCTTGGACTCCCCCGCGTTGCGCGTTCGGGTACACGTCAGCCGTTGGTTCTATCCATCCACACCATCACACCCCCGAAGCGGAGATGGTGTGGGCCCCACGTTAGTTTGGTGGGGGGGGGGGGGGGTGGCGTGACGTGAGGGGGCTGGCGTCTCCATCCACCGTCCGTTTTCGGGGGCTCCGGATGGATCCGACGGCTGGGAGCGCGTCTCGTGTCCTTCGCTCGTTTTGGGCTCTTTGCTTTATCTGGGTTTAGGTGTAACAACCGCAGACGTTTTTGGACGTGCCTCAAGATAAGGTCGCCCCCACGTCATGTTATCATCATCATAATTATCTTAATTCTTTGTTTCTCAACAGAAACAGAACAGAAAGAAAAAAAAAGAAAAATTGCAGATTACATTACATTATTATTATTCATTAATGACACCTCAAAATACATCGCTTGTCGTGTTAATCATATTACAAAATTCTATCTGAACAAAACACCTTAAGTACATAGTCATATTGTACAAATTACAAAAGTCGATCTGCTCTCGATAACTTTACGAGATTGATTGATTCGTTCATTCACAAGGCAATTAACACCTCAAATTTTACAACAACAACATCATGAGCAATAGCTGAAACTTTGAAAGCAGAACTCCAGTCTGTCTGTATAACCAGCAGCAGCAGGCAGCAAAGCAAACTGTTCGATCACATCTCGACAGGGAACCTCTTGTACAGGTCCGGGTTGTCGAGCCTGGGCTTGGCGATGACCTGCAGCGACGTGCTCATGAACGTGACGACGCCGTTGGACTCCATCATGTTGACGTCCTCCGGCCTGGTGCCCTCGGGGAGAGACCACTCGAACTGGTGGAGGAGGTGCCCGATCATGGAGGCGACGAGGTTGATGCCGAGCTGGGCGCCGGGGCACACGCGGCGGCCGGCGCCGAAGGGGAGCACCCTGAAGTCGCTGCCCTTGATGTCGATGTTCTCCTCGATGAACCGCTCCGGCCTGTACTCCAGCGGGTTGCTCCACACCTTGGGGTCCCTGGCGATCGCCCACACGTTCACCATCACGTTGGCGCCCTTGGGGATGTTGTACCCGCCGATCTTGACGTTCGTGCTGGCCTTGTGCGGGAGCATCAGCGGCGTCGGCGGGTGCAGCCGGAGCGACTCCTTGACGACGGCGTTCAGGTAAGGGAGGCTCTGGAAGTCGGTCTCCGACATGACGCGGTCGCGGCCGACGACGCGGTCCAGCTCCTCCTGCAGCTTCTTCTGCACCCTGGGGTTCCTGACCAGCTCTGCCATTGCCCACTCGACTGATATCACTGTGGTGTCCATTCCAGCAGTGATCATGTCCTGAACACAAGGAACATAACAGGGATGGTAAGAACTCACAAATGTAATGGAGTTAGCAGGACAGAAAATTCAGGCACATGACAATTATCGGGATTTTGTTTTTTATCTTCCATTATTATGGTATTCATTTCCTAGTCTGAACAAACTTGATATGCAAATTATCCATGTGCGATGCAAGATAGGGAAATGCATGCAGAGGCATCCATTGAAAGCTTTTGGTAGTTGCCACTAGCTAAGTGGTCTAACCTTTCCAACTTTCTCGCATTTTTAGTAGGTAGATGATTGAAACCATAAAACACAACCTAACTTCCAACTAGAAAGTAAACAGAAACTTTTCCAAATACCACCATACTTCACCAACCCTAAGATAGTGACATGCCACACAAACTATGTACCAAATCTGACTAGAGTGGAAAAAATTCTCCATGACTTTGAGAGATGATATTTAACATGTGTGCAAATAATGTAAAAGTAATTGGGAGAGCATTGATATTAATAGTCCAGTAGGGTATCATATCTGAAATTGGATGACAAAAAGGATAGATACTGATAAGTATGAAAGGAACATCCAACATACCCATAGAAGCCCAATAACTGTGTCGTCACTAAGGTCATACTGTTCTCTGAGAGTGAACAGAGCATCCACAAAGTGCTGCTTGGCACCACTCTCCTTGAGGGCCTTCGCATGCTCATCTATGATCTTCTTGGTCAGCCGATCCCTTCTCTCGTTGTGGGTCTTGTAAAGCTCCTCGTTAAGTGGACACAACCACCTCAAATACCAAATGTACTCAGCAACAGAAAGAGATGCACCGATCTTGATTCCATTGTTGACAATAGTCTTAAACTCACGCCCTTGTTCATCAATGTCACCATTTGCATTCATGAACCTCTTGCCGAAAGCTAGCCTTGTTATATTGTTGAAGGCCACCATAGCAAGGTGATTCCTCACTACGATTGGTTTATGTTCACTACCTGAAAACAGCACATCGATAAAATGACTGTTAGTTAAAAACTTCATTCCAATGCAAATAGACTCTTACCGTGCTAGGTAATTGTTCCATTATTGTATGTCGTGCACAATATACTTCTTTTTCTTTTTTCTTGAGGTAACCCATCATGGCTTTAGGCCAACAAAAAAAAAAGCTTTGCTAACTTATGTACACATGTAAACAAATCAGCTAGTGGATCGATTTGCAATTGACAGTTTGACACCAGGTATTCATAGGATGCATTTGTAGGCCAAAATTTTTTTCCAACAGAGTATAAATAAAGCTAAATTCATTCATTTTTCTAAACAGCCTGGCTTAATTCTTGTAAACTAAATTGGAAAATAGAGAGAAGGCTAGGTCAATGTTGAGGACTACATTGAAACAGCAACACAAATGGAACATAAAATTGGTTGCAAAGTCAGAAATAAGTTGAAAAGAGTCGCTGATAAGCTGTATCAACTGTCAGCACAGTTGAGACAGATGGGCAAAGTACATAATAGCAGCTCATTAATTTTAGTCTGTAAAAACTCCAATGCTATCAAAATGTACAAACATCTTAGAAGAAAAAAAAAAGACTTCCAACCAGTTCAAACAAGGTTGTTGCCAAACATGTTTTTTTTGACTGTCAAACTGGTACAACATAACATCACAAGAGAATGCTTGGCATACCAGTAAGAAGCTTAAACAGCATAGTATTGTTTCAACTAGCAAGGTGTCACATTACAGCAAGTAGAGTACTTATCATGTGAGGAGCTAAAATAGCATGCCAACAACAGAGCAAACTTATATACCAAAAAGGGAATAGCGTAATTCTTGTCCACTAGAGAGGTGTGAAGTGCCTTAATGAACAATAATGCAGAAAGCACCAAACTGTCTTCACTTAAGCTTAAAATAGCATGTGATTACCAACCCCGTGTATACTGGAAGTCATACGAAGCCCACTTTACTATAACTATACCAATTACGATATCTGCTTGACATGAACCATAGCTCATAACCAATAATCCCCAGGGCCAAGGTCTCTCAGCAGTCAGCACACTACAGCAGTACAGCTGGGCAGAGTATGATCACTACCTAGTTTCATGGTACCTACATTTTCAATTCAGCAAGTAAAATCTTAGCTTGGCTCTCTAACAACGTGCTCACCATGTGATCCATCTCAGAGAAATGCACCCACTCACTCGAGGCAGTTCAACTCCTCTTATTAGTTTATTATCCCACCAGATCAAACCAATAGCTAGCATTTCCTCTAGGATCCACTACCAAATCCGCACAGCATATCGTAGCGAAGCCTACGAAATGGCAGACCACGCCTTGGCCATTTCCCTCAAGGAGCGATGCAAATTGAGCACCAATAAGCCTGCAAAACAACTAGTAGTACCAATCGGCAATCGCTGATCTAAGGCAGCACAATTTAGCTGACACATGAGAGTCAACACGACATAACAATTCGTCACCAAACACAAGGACGCCACAACCACCAAACTCATACCAACCACGTTTGCACCAAGCACCCTCTCCTTGCTCAAAATTACACAAAGAACACTAAAATTCTTGAAGCTTTACCTGGCTGGGTGACGGCGCGGTGGACGGACTCGACCATGGCGGTGACCTCGTCCTCGCGGATGGGGCGGAGGGCCTCGAGGCGCTTGGGGGTGAAGAGCTCGAGGTTGCAGAGCTTGCGCACCTTGATGTAGTGCGGGCCGTAGTCCGCCCAGATCAGGTCCATCCCGTTGCGGCTGAAGCGCTGCGTGGAGCGGTTGCGCGGCCGGTCGGCGAGCAGCTGGTCGTTCTCCTTGAGCACCTCCTTGGCGAGCTCCGACGTCGACACCACCACGTTCAGCGACGAGCCGAACCACACCGACACGATCGGGCCGTACCTCTCCGCCCACTCCAGGAAGCCGCGGCACCGCACCGGCTTGATCTGCCACAGGTTCCCCACCATCGGCCACGGCCGCGGCCCCGGCGGGATCCGCCCCAGCCGCAGCCGGTCCAGCAGCGCCAGCGAGATCGGGATCGCCACCAGCGCCAGCGCGAACGGGAGCAGCGACGCGACGTCCATGGCAGCGGCGGCGGCGGTGAACGGCGGCGAGCTCGCCTCCGTTTGGTTTTGGGGGGGGGGGGGGGTGGTTGGTGGAAGCGGCGGTGGCGAGCTCGGCCAATTTATACTCGCCGGAAAGCTACGGATTTGGGGGGAGGTTGGCGGTAGGTGAGTGGGCCACACCACACTGATTTTTTCCCCCTCTTTCCCCTCTTGTTTCCACTACAATTTTTTTTCTTGTTTTATTATATATAAACATATAAGAACAAGTTTAATAGTAAAGCCAATTACCCGTTTCAAATTATCTACAATCATCTTAATAGCCAATTTATACAATAATTACCTGTAAACATGTATTCTCTCCGGACTAATAACACTTGTCGTTTTAGACAAGGGTGATATCAAACTTTAGAATACATGTATATATTAGTTTTACAAAGTATTTTAATAAAATCATATATTTGTTAACACTTTAATATATATTGTAATGGAAAATAATGGTCAAAGTTGTTTTTGGAGATCATGCCTTTGTCCAAAACGAAGTATTATTAATTCGGAGGGAATAGTACACTAGTAATATCTGGTTTTACATGTCACACGCATATTACATCTTGTAGTATGTGCTATTATACCTGCCCTAAAGCAGATGCTCACAATGAGCGCACACCAATTCCTATGAATACATGCATAAACCCTATTCTTATGGGCACCCCGAAAGATTGAGTCAGGATATGATGAAGTGAACACAGATGTCTTGCTGTCGATATTTACAAATACATCGCTTACCACTAAGAAAATAATTAACCGTACATATATCAAGTCTAAAATGTGAACTAGTTTCAGCACAGAAAAACTAACCATTTGACATAAGCTCATTTTGCTATTTTTCTTTCCTCTTGGTTCTTGAGGATTATAAATTTGGTGGACTATTAGTGGTGTCAGAGCAAACAGTGTGTTTGAGGTTAATTTAATGTTAATTATGTTTTTTTCTGTGATAAAACATGGGCTGGTCGTGTGTTAGTGACTTACTAGTGTTAACTGCTAAGTGCTTGGTTGAAGTGGGCGAGCTTGTTCCAGTGAGCTGTTCTTGCTTAGTTCTAAGAAGACCGAGTTTCACCAACCACCGATGATACCAGGTGCTGCTGCTGGTTTCCAAGCTTGCAGTGGACTTGGATCACAAACACTGTTGACCAAAACTACTACTCCTACTTTCTCTCAAAAAAGTTCCAAACCAGCAAAATTCAAGAAGCGCAAATTGTGAAATACGACTCGTTCAAAAAAAAAAGTTGTGAAATACGATAGACGAAAATTTCGAGTTCAGGGGTCCTTGAGAACGTTTTGTACTACTATGAGTTAGTGGTTTACATGAAACAAAGTACTACTCCTAACAAACTAATTTCAGCTCTGCAGTTGGAACATGCTGCAGATTCTGCACGAATCTGGCACGAGTGAATCATACTCAAACTTTTCATAGTGTGTTGGTTTTTTATGTTTGGCGAGAGATGGATCGTGCTCGGTTTCTGTGGGCCTGATTCCTGTGGGACGACGGGATCTACGGCCTGTGTTTCGTATATACACTGTACACGCTACGGTAGGTAGTGGCTCGGCGCATTGTGTTAGTGAGGTGTGAAGTCTGAGGGTGTGTTTGGTTCACGCTAAAATTGAAAATTAATTGAAATTGGAACGATGTGATTAAAAAGTTGGAAGTTTATGTGTGTAGGAAGATTTTGATGTGATGGAAAAGTTAAAAGTTTGAGAAAAAGTTGAAAACTAAACCATGCTTGAACTGGAAAGTCCTATTTCCGAAATGCTCCGTGGCTTATTCAGAAAAATGACTTAATTAACACTTACTTTATTGTGATTTAATTTTGCCATTAAAGGTGTTCTAAGCATAGCTTACACTTTTTTATTCATATATGTTTATATTTGAAATAAGGCGAATGATATAAAAAAACAGATAGAATGCACGGTTAGTCGTTGGCACATTATCTGAACTCCGCTCCGTGGCTTATCTGGAGGGTTGCATTGCAACGACACCTGCGTCTCATTTGACTCGTACGAGAGCGACAAATACTCTGTGTGCACTACACAGAACAAGAGAAGGTGAGCTGATCGAATTTACTACGAAGAAAGGAATTCCAGAAGATACATTGAAAATCTCTTGCGCGTTCACGAAAAACATTGAAAATCGCTGGAATCCTACCTGAATTTTACGGTAGATCCATTGAAACTTTCAGAATTCCAAATTTGAAACTAGGACTCTGCTTTCAAATCAAATGCGGGCTGTGGTACCTTAATTACGGGCCTGCTTCTTTGTCTGAAAATACTACGGGCCTACTTAAGTGGTCTAATCATGGGCCATTGCTAACACTCACAGAAGATCCCAAGGAGGACAGATGACTGGCTACAGGACTGCGTTTGCAATCACCGTGCAAAGAAACAATGTCTAGAGAAAAAAAGAAAAAAAAACCCATTCAGAGTAGTACAAACAAACTAATTTCAGCTCTGCAGTTGGAACATGCTGCAGATTCTGCACAAATCTGGCACGAGTGAATCATACTCAAACTTTTCATTGGAATAGTGTGTTTGGCGAGAGATGCGTTCTGGGTTCCTGTGGGCCTGATTTCTATGGGACGACCGGCTCTACGGCCTGGGTTTTGTATATACACTGTACACGCTACGGTAGGTGGTGGCTCGGCGCATGGTGTCAAGTCTGTACTGAAAGTTCGAAATGCTCCGTGGCTTATTCAGAAAAAAAAGTAATTATTACTTTTTTTGTGATTTAATTTTATTATTATAAAGGTGTTCTAAGGATAGCTTATACCTTATATCTATATCTGTATCTTTACTTATTATAAAAATTGAAGATGTTTTTACTAATACTTTGGTATGTCATCTGTATATGAGTCATTTTTTAAGTTCGTTCGTTTTTGAAAATACAAATTTATATTTAAATCGATTTTTAAGTTCGTTCGCTTTTGCAAATACAGAAGAATCGTAAAGAAATATCTTTAAAAATTCACATGTTAATTTGATTGGACTCCCAATTACAACTCATGATTTTCTAACAAAATATATATCCAAGTGAATTTAACACAGTGAATTTCATCTTAACCAAACAATAACAATAAAAAATTTAAAATAACTTCATCCGTTGCAACGTACAGGTATTTTTCTAGTAATTATAAGATGAATGTTCTAGAAAAATAGATGGAATGTACGGTTAGTCGTTGCCACACTGTCTGAACTCCGCTGCTTATCTGGAGGGTTGCAATTATTGAATAACTAGTGGCTTATTCGCTGATCCGGAGTAGAAGACGACGATCTCACACACACAATCATATAGTAGATGAATAATGAACACGGATATAGGGAGAGGCATCACAGCTTTATTGCTTTCTCATATGTGGATACATCAACCAACCTCTCAAGCCATCTCTCTCAATATATATACCTATAATAGGAAGAGTCCTATTAGGATACGTTTCCATATATTTGGTATGAGTCCATATTTATCTCTGGCAGGAGATAATAGTTTTATAACACTCCACCTTGGGCGAATACCGCGCTATACACATGTCTCATTAAAAACTCCATCCAAAAACCCAGTGGGAGAAAAGGATAGGAGAAAAGAGTACATCGTACACGCTAGTTATATCGCACTTGTTGCCGCGTTAAAAACCTTGCGTGAGAAATATTCAAGTAAAAACTCACTAAGGGAAAAAGAGTACAACACACGATCTTCTTGATCGCATAATCTTTAAGATATACATTCTTCATAAATAGCCAATGATCTATATGCTTTATTGTATTAATCAACTTGGATTAACACAACAATATAGCGGTAGTAACCTTCAAGGTAAATTATCAAAACAAAGATTAATTTGATTAATTCTTGGTAAATCAAATATAAGACTTCCAAGTCTTAAGTATGATAATAAATGTTTAGCATATATGCTCCCCCTCAATAAGACATCCGTTGAAACTTTCATGTTCCAATGTCATAACCATATTTTTATTAATGTGTAAAACAATGATAATAAAATTACCACAATGTTTAATCTTTCATTTACTTATTTCATAAGTTTTACTATGAACATGAGAAATAAATCAACGTATAGGAGCAATATGTATAACCACTTAGTCAAATGTGCAATACAAACAAAGTTTTATCCTTACGGAGGACTATGGGAAAATAAGTTGCAACGTTACACATATGCGGTATGTATAAAATAATTAGCTCAATACAAGAGGTTAAATATTATGCAACTTTCTCTTAGTGGATTTATCAATCATTACCAGTTTGATTGTTTCACTAATCTTCAACAATTAGCTTAAACCACTTAGAGTGACATAAACTGGTCTATATTTTGGCATTAGGGGAATTAATAAGATTGCCAAATACCATCAAAAAGTATATCTTCATGATATATAAATTCTTACACCTTCATAGTATGTAGAAAACTACCGATCCACTTGCATGCTAGTGGACCAATTCATTCGTTTAAACGGGTCTGTCCACTTCATGGGAGTACGAGTTATTGGTGTTATATGGAGATTAACCGGCAATTCATACATTAGCATAGTCCTACAGAGATCAACTTATTCTTCCGGAAGTCATTTTCTCTGCTATGAGAAATATTCTCACTTCTAGGAGAAAAACTCTTCATGAGTCATCATAAACTCTTCTACGAGTCTTGCAATTCTCTTCTTGAGAATATAGTGTGCTTCATGACACTAATTAGTATGAGATTTACATATATGTTGCGAAATTGTTTTCTTTCTAGTGAAAACTTCATATGGATTTTCATAACCCATAAACTGCATATCATTTATTAATTCATACCTTTTGCCAGCGATATATATAGCGGAATTTAATACATTCATAGTAGGAGAATATCAGTCTTTTCCATGACCATATGAACCGTCGCTTTTCACCACTTCATTTCCTATTAAGTATGAACTTCCATGTTCACATAGACTTATTTAGCGACTATGGTTCAACCTCATTGCTTTCTTCAATAGAACCAATATGAGTGCTACTATGCAACTCTGCCATGGACTTTGGTTCCGGATCCGGATTCTCAT